GGTCAAAGGAGCCCAAGCACGGGAGCAATTCGAAACCCTGTGTTCATCCTGGGTACCGGTACTATGGTACGTACAGCTCTTGCCAGGCTTCAACATATCATATGTGGCTTGGGCTGGGCAAGCACCAAGAAGAGAACATATGAAAGAAAACGGGGCTGGCTACCTACCTACAGCAGTGACACCAACGGCTAGCAGTTCGATTTCTATAATAAGCTAGTTCTCTAATAACGGTAGCTACAGACAGTACAATCATGTCAGTACCCTAGCATTGAAAGGGCCGGCCTCAGTTTGGTGGAAACAAAAGCTTGTTGGTCAGGTACATATGCATCTGCATGACATCGCCAGCCTTGACCAGAATATCTTGTTGAACTCGCTGCATTCCAGGGATGCTCGTCTGAATATAAACTTCTGCATCATTATCCAGGTGGCCTGCAGTCTCCACCTCAAAACTGTGGACCCATTTCATCGGAATTGACTTGTATTGGACTTTGTTTCCACTGAGACCTTGTACATCGACCCTAAGGAGTCGAAGAGTTGTGTACACGAACATGTCACGGCCACACTTGTAAGCTCTTTCCACGCGCTCGTCATCCAAGAGAATGGAAGGGTCGCTGTGGAGCTGGTGAGACACAATGTCGGCATCAATCTCCACCGAGTTGCTGGTGAGCCACGATGTAAAGCTGTCCATATCTGGAGCCTTCGGTTCCAATGAACCAAACGACCCCGAGGTTTCAAAGTATCGAGCAGCATCTTCTTTTGTCCCCAACAAGATCGAGGACAAGAATTTTTGCAGCATGACAATGTCGACTTTGCCCTTGCGAAAGTCCAGACTAAGCTTTTGCAAATCCCAGAGATTGCGGGTGTACAGCTTGATCTCAGAATCTCGGTCCCAGCTACCCGCAGACTCCGCAGAGAATCCACGAATACTTTTGTAAGGGATGCTCTTGTACTCCACCTTTTTGCCACTCCAGCCTTGCACATCCATAATCATGACACGAAGATTCGTGAAAAGGGTGGCATCACGACCCACCTTGAACGCCAGGACAATGTTCTCGTTGTCCAACAGCACGGGTATTTCTGTGTGAAGAATAGCATTGAGTTCTGTAGGGTCTATCGCCCGTTGATCATCACCCATCTTGGACATGAACTTGTCAAACCCCTTCTCTGAGTCGGACGTGTTGCTGATGTTGGGGTGGAGAGGCACCAGATCCTGAAGAGCATCATGGGCATGTAGGCATCGTTTGGAGATGTACTGCTTGACAGCAATAATGTCAACCAAATCCTTGTTAAAATCCAAATCCCACATGGCCATGTATGGTTCTTTGTCATCGCCCACACCTTTGAATTTCATTTCCGTCCACAGTCGAATTTCCGAGTCATTGTCAAGCGTTTGACCGGCTGTTTCAGCGGCAAATGCAACCACAGATTTCCACGGAAGAGTGCTGTACTCAACCTTTTTCCCAGACCACCCTTTGGTGTCAATTTTGAGGCATCGTTTTGTCGTGAAGAGGAAGATGTCTCGCCTACCCTTAAATGCCATTTCGACTACTTCGGAGGACTGAAGAATGGGAGGGGAACTCTTGAACACTCGGTCCATTTCGACTGCATCCAAAGGTCGATTCTTGCCACGTTCCAACCAACTGGCGGACGGGTCAATGTGACCCTCCTTCTGATCAACTTCTTGCAGGATACTTTCGTCTCTTCCCAACACATGATTGTCGAGACAGGTCTGAATGGCCCATAAATTGACCTTGCTCTTTCTGAAGTCTTGACTTATCTCCTGGATTCCGTGACAATCAGTAAAGATCCGCATTTCTGAATCTGAATCCCAGGATCCAGCCGTCTCTATAGCATAGCCACAGACATTTTCCCATGGGATCGAGAGGAAATCGATCCTCTTGCCGGACCAACCTTTCACATCAATGATCAAAATGCGTCTGGAAGTCAGTACGGTATAATCGCGCCAGGTTTTGTAAGCCAGTTCGACTGTTTCATCTGGCATCAACACAGGATACTGGTTCTTGAGTTTGTCTTCCATATCAGCAGGGGTGATTTGCTTGGCATCACTGCTTAACCATTCCGCTACGGAACTGGCATTAGGGACGCTGCTGAGGTCGGAAATAATGGCATCTTGAGTGCCTTGGGTCGCTTTGTCGGAAAGACACTTCCTATTCAGGAACTGTTTCACTGCAAAGATATCAACGGATTTCTTGCCAAACTCCACATAGACAGAGTTGTTGGAGCGAGTGTATATGCGGAGTTCGGTATCGTTGTCCCATCCGCCTCCAGCCGTTTCGACCGAAAAGGCTTGAATTGCCGAGTATGGGATGGATTCGAAATTTTTGCGTTTGTGTCCAATCCCTTTCCCATCTTTAATAAGAATACGATGCGATGTCAGATATGATTTGTCTCGTGGATCCCCAGCCGATTTGTACGCCAACAGAACGCGTTCGGACTCATGGAGGACAAGTGGCTCTTTCTGGCGAAGTTTCTTCTCGGCTTCTTCCGCTTCAATTTGGTACGAATTGTCACTCAGGATGTTGGGAATGGTGGTCATCTTGCCGTGCTATTAGAGTGCTTGGATCCTTGGCTGCTGTTGAGGGAGAGGAAAGATATCGTGCGGGTGCCGATGCTGCAACTGGCGACGTGAGTATGAGGACCGATTTTGTTGGATGTACGATGTACTAGAGTACCGATAGAGGCCCAAAGATCCAAATACCCTCGAGCGAGAAAGAGAAAAGATACGATTAGTCCCGAACTGGAATCACGAATAGACAGCTAGATAGCTACGCTACGAGCTACTAGTACGCTACTACTAGCTAGAGCTAGCTAGCTAGCTAGTAGAGTATTTGTCCAAGCAGTTACATGCACTCGCCAGCTCGGGAAACAAGCGAATAAAATGTTGTACAGGATTGAACCTTGCTCCAGCCCGAATTCCCTTAAATCCTGAGACGACTGACTCAGACTGGACTCAACAAGCAAGATGAACGAGTTTTGGAAAAGATTCGTCGCAGTCGCATAAAACCAACAACAACATCACAAACCAGACCAACACCAAAGCAATCAACACCAAAGCAACATGGGATGCAAACACTCAGCACCAGTTTCTGAAACTGAATCCAATAGCAAAGAATATGGACCAATTAGAGATATAGTTGGAGGCGATGCTGCCTCCAAGTCTTATCCTCTCGTGGGCCCAGAAGCAATCATGAAAAAGAAAACCCACGGTACATACATCAAGCCAGTCCAGTCCAAACTGCGCTATGGATGTGACTTCAAGACCGCCGACAACATCTGCAATGTACGCTTCCTTTTGTCTTCCTGTCGCCGGGACAGTGATTGAATCGTTCAGCTCACGCCTCACTTCTCTTCCACCACCCCACAGCACAATCGTCACCTAGCCGAGCACTTTGGCTATTTTACCTCGGGGCCTCGCCGTAGAGCATTCAACAAAGCAGTGAAAGAGGCCAAGGCAAAGAACAAATCAATCACCTTCTTTGATTCGAACACTGGTTTGCCTTTGTTCACTGCTCCCCGTGGTCGGTCTTGGGATTCCTTCCTGAATGAGAGCAGTAAACACGGTTGGCCTTCATTGTGAGTGTCTTGATGTGTGTGCTTTGCATAGCAAAGTGAAATTTTGCAAGTGATATCTGACTTCTTTGCTTCTCTTCACACCAAAACAGCCGTGATGCAGAAGTCAACTGGGAAAATGTCCGATGCCTCAGAAAGGGAGAAGCCGTGAGCATTCATGGAACCCATCTAGGCCACAATCTGCCGGATTCCAGTGGGAATCGTTACTGCATCAACTTGGTATCCATAGCGGGGAATCCAGATGGAATTGATGATACCAAGGAGATTATGCTGTACACGGATTCGGCGAACTAACAATAAAACAAGTAACAATAATGCAGAATGGGGTGATTGATGCTTACATGTGTATGTAGTGATGTGCTTAGTGGGCTTTCCGTGGTGGCACAACGGAAAGACGCAAAGGCCACACAATAATTCGATCGTCAGGCGCCGATGGGCGAAAGCAAAGGACAATCCCAGAACGGGCCCTCTTGTGCGGCTTTATTGTGTACAGTACCTCATTGCCTCGACTCAAAAAAGAAGTTCTCCCATCCCGACCACATTTTGGGAATAAATCCATTTGCAATTGAGCTCTTGCATATTAATTTCTACGCCAAGTTATAGGCCAGCATTGGGAATCCTATCATAAAGAAAAACATGAAAAATCCTGATTGCCACTGCAGCCCTGCCCTGAGCACATCTCCCAGCATGTAATATAGGATCATATAGCAGGGAAAGGTCACCAAAGCCACTCGTTTGGGGTTTACGTTTTCGAGCTGTTTCCCTAACAGGGTCGGATATACCATGCGCAACAGCACCCAAAAAACGCCAAGCTTCCCCGCCTTGTTTGGATTCACAAACACCGCCTGGAGCCACAAAGCAGTCAAGAAAGGTATGGATTGCTCTTGAAAATTGAGAAAGGCGCGATCGGCAGCCAGCATTTCTGGGTGATTGCTGTTGTACCGATCGAAGGGTTTGTCTTTGTTCTCCTTTTGGAATTGTTTCGTCAGGCGGTACTTTGTCTTGGTCTGTCGATTCAAGGATCGAATGTACTGCAATGCATGAAGCAACGTGGCGATAATAGGCCACTTGAACTCGGCAGCATCCAGTGTCATGGTGGAAAGAGGAAATCAAAATGCTTCAGTACTGTACTGGCTCTCTCCTTGGTCTCTTTGTCTTGTAACTGTGGATCTCTGTTGGCAGTTGTGGACGTTCTTTCGAAGATCCTTGATTGTGGAGGCCCATATTGGAACAGGGAGGTGTCAGTACGTGGTACCTGGTACCAGTGGCGGTGTGTGAGATCTTTCTTGGCACTCAGTCGTGGGAAAAATACCTGTGAGAATGATGCCACAGCCGTTGCAAGAAGAAAGAGAGAGCACCTCACTTGTAAGTGGATTATATCCAGCAACACCCGTCGCCCAGTGTGGTGCTGGGCTTGACAGTTGAGGTGGGAGATGACTTCACTTGCTTCACTCTTCCACTCCTTCCATCTAAGAAAGGAAAGCACGCCCAGCATGAACTGAAGAGCATCTCGTCGTCATCATCTTGATTGTACATGTAATGGGGCGGCGAGGAGTAGGAACAGCCTACAGCCGATTCCTTTCGTTGCCAAACCTTTTTTTGAGCAAGGATGCCGTACAGTTTTGATCTCGACCCAGAGTTGACTGTGGGATGGGCAGCTTCACGAGAAGCCCCCTCTCATCCAGACTTTGGCAAAGGATTTGACATTTCTTCGGAGCGGTTGCCCAGTCCAGCCGCCACCACCGCAACGAACGATTCATTGTTGCTGGCCGCAATACGCGTGACCCCACCACCCAAGAAGAAAAGCAAAAAGTTAATGTCGGCACTGCAAGCACAACAGCGACGAGAACGAGCCGAACAAGTCAACCATTATTGGACAGTGGCATGCTGTGTCATTGCCTGTCTCACCGTCGGATTCGCTTTGTTGAACATGGTGGTATATTCCGACAACTTTGTCATCAAATTGGCATTCGTCACGCCATTGGTGACGGCACCTTACGTCGTATGGCAACGGAGGCAACTCAACAAGGCGCCCTGTGAGTACCGGTAGACCGAACATTGGCATCGAATACCCATCGGACAAACCCCACACAGCATACCCAGCTAACCAGTTTCGTTTTCATTCAATTTATAGACTTTAATGAAGATTATGCTCGGTTGTTTGCGAAAGTGAGTCGGTTGCGAGACCAGAATCAAGAGCTACAACTTGAACATGATCAACTCGAGATTGATTTGAAGCGGTATGTATAAAGTTCATTGGTGGTACTAGTAGTCGCAATGCTTGCTTGCATGACAGTGAAAAATCTTAACATCCATTGGTTTCTCTGTCTTTCGAAAGTCTGAAGGCTGCCGAAAGAAAGTTGATTTCCATAGTCACCCAACAGGGATGCAGTATGAAGCAAGTTCGGCAACTCGTGAGAGAGAACGGGGAAATCACGAGAGAAACTATGGTAAGCACTATCAACTTAAATTTCAATGTGGACCGGTGTTGTCGACGTACGAAACAGGTTCCCTCTCACTGGAGCGGGGTTTTGCTATAGCAACTGCAAGAATCCGAGAGGCTGCTGCATGTAATTGATCCCAAAAAGAAGGCCAGTAGAAGTGCCAACAACAAATCAAGCTTTGTCGTGGAGTTTGAGGAAGATGTGGTCAACGAAATCATTCAACGACTTCAAAACATTACGTCGCGAAAACTGAACGAGCGAAGGCTGCGGAAAGCACTCTGCAAATCACACTCTAATTCTGTCTATTCTGTGGGGTCCACTGAAGACATTAGTGAATATGAGGCTTTCACATTTCGAAGGTGTCCAAGCGACGGGTAGCAACGGTGGCGGTACCATACTGTGCCGCAGTCATGAAGGGAGCAATGCCAGTTCACAACAAACAAGGAGATGGTCGGGAGAAGTCGGGGTGAGGGATTCAATTCTTGGCCGGGAAGTTGGTGTTGCAATGTGCGTCGTCATCATCACGCTTCGATTTTGTCAACAATCTGTGTATCGATTAATTTGGGTTGGAGCAACCTGCACTTTATAAACACCTCTGTACATCTAGACTAGTAGTACTAGCTGGTGCACCACTTAGTATCCTAATTCAGTGATGTACCGGTACCGGTACCATGGAAGGCTCTGGAGTTAGGACAGTAGCAGGACTGTGTGTTTAGCCAGGATATGGCATTATTTGAAAGGTTCAGTAGTGGGTGTTGAGAAAGAGTCACAGATGAAACAAGACTAGGAATTGGTGACTGGACAGGGTCCATTGGATTTGGAGAATTCCCAGAGAAATAGTCATAATTTTGTTTTAATCTAGCTGAATTGATTGAAGCTGTGCTAGGACCTAGATAGAGGACCCAATACAAGGATTGGAGTTGCCTGATAGGCACTAGGACCTGGTTCCTCCCTAGTCACCTCAACATTAAAACAAAATTACTGAGACAGAAGCGATAGAGCTAACCTAGACCGGTCATCGGCAGCTATGAGCGCCAGTGATTCCGGTGCCGGGGGCTCCGCAGCAGCGGGATCCTCGGGAACCACAAGTGAGAGCATGTCCGGCATCACCAGCAACTCTGGAGGAAGGAGTGGTGGCAGGGGCAGAGGTGGACGTGGTGGTAGGGGCCGATTTGGAGGCCGGAGGCAGGGTGCCCCCACCGCAGCCGCAAAGAAGTTTGCAGGCAGGTCCACCACGCTGGAAGGCCATGTGTATGACCTGTCCACTCCCTCAGCAACGGCTGCAGCTTTCTATGACACGACAATGGAGATTGCCGAGTTTGTAGGGCGTACCTACACAAAAGGCAACTACACAAAACTCGAGATTGAGTCCCTGAGGACCCAGGAAATCCCAAAACCGGCAATGGCAACCAATGCAGACGGAACGGTCTCAACAGACGAAGTCGACAAGGAAATCTTCAAACAGGAAGTGTCGGCATTCGTGAAAGGACGCGACAAGCTAAAAGAGAACCGGCAGAATGCTTTCTCCCTCATCTGGGGCCAATGCAGTGACAATATACGAACAAAGGTGAAGAGCAGCACGAGCTTCGACAAGCTGAGCGCCGAAGCGGATGTCATTGGACTACTGCAAGGAGTGCGCACCGTGATGCTACAGTTCCAAACCAGGAAATATCAACCGCTGGCCATACTGGAGAGCAAACGACGAGTGATCAACTTCCGACAGGGAAAGCTGACTGTCGGGGAGTACTACAGGCTTTTCAAGCAGAAGGTCGAAGCAACAGAACACAACGGTGGGAGCTTCGGGTACGAAACGACGTTGATCCAGGCTGCGCTGCCCACGGGAACAACAATTGACTCCGCTACGGCCGCAGAAATGGCGGCGGCAGTGGCTATCGTGCGTGACAGGACGCTGAGCGTCATGTTCCTCTCGGGAGCAGATGAGGAACGATATGCGGACCTATCCATCGACCTCGAGAACGATTACACAAGGGGCGAGAACAACTACTCGAAGACGCTTGATGACGCATACGCACGATTGGATGCGTACCATCCGAAGAGGAGCCGTAATCGGCAACAATCATCACATGCCGCCGGAATGGCTACGGAAGTGGCGTTCACGTCGGACGGTGAGGAATTGGTGGCTGGCACGAACGGAAAGACGTTTGCACACGTCGAATGTCACGCCTGCAACAAACATGGCCACTATTCCAACAAATGCCCGTCCAGAGGCGAGAGTGAGGCTGAAGGTGCCGTGCAGATGCTGATGAACGCGTACGAGGAAGGAGAACTGTCGGATTTTTCCTTCCTGGTCAGCACGGTGTTATTCAACAATAAAAGCCGAATCCCTCGCACATGGATCTTACTCGACAACTGCAGCACAGTGAATATTTTCTGCAACAAGAAGATGCTCAGAAATATTCGGAAGGGCCATGGAAGGGTCAAGGTGCAGTGCAATGCTGGCGTGGCTACGACAGACCTCATCGGGGACCTTCCAGGATTTCCCGAGCCGGTCTGGTACATGCCTGACGGGGTGGCGAACATCCTCTCTTTTGCTAGAGTCGAGGAGCATTTTCCCATCACGTACCAGCCCACAACAGGAGAGTTTTTTGCACTACGCTAAAAGCTAGTGTAAAGATCTTTCGAGTGTTTTGAGTTTGAGAGAATGAAAGTTATGAGAGGATTAGAAAGCTATGAAAACTAATCAACGAGAGAGATCTACACCCAAAGGATCGTAGATCTGAACTCCCGCGGGAGACTGTAAAGTGTGATAGAGTAGGTTGCGGTAGCAATCCTACTCATTCCACGATCCAAAAACGGAACGCGTGGAAGATTCGTCTAGCATTTATCTAGTGGCGTGGAAGTACTCCACGCTGGCTAAATATCTAGAGCGATGTTTCATCATCAACCTAGTATGACTAGAGCGGTCATTGAGAACCCTGTCTCAATGACTATTCACGAGAGACTCAGTCATGAGTCGAACTCAAACCCTATCTAGGATCGAGTCGCGAATAAGGCTAAGAGCCGTGTATTGCATTCGCCCCCTGACAAGGGTCACGGAAGGCACGACATCAGTCGGACAGGAGAACATATGAATTAAAGTGCGGGGCACTCTCCGGAGATTGGATGTAGACATGTGCGTCGCACGATGGCAATCCTACAAGGGGATCAGGCCTTGTATGGGTGTAAATACCTTATGTTCCAAGTCTGGTAGACTGTGCCGCTACTGCGGTAGTATGTCGGAGCCGTACAGTGCCATTGTTATTGACTCGGTCTGTGTGGTAAGGCCGCTCTCTACCAAGCGACTAAAGTAGCGACTAAGCCATATTTCGTAGTTTAGTCAATAGTTTAGTCTCTGGGGGTGGTGTCTACCCAAGCGACTAAACGTCCCACGGACTAAAGGCTTTAGTCACAAAGTTCGTTCACCGACTAACCAGCCTCCCGTTAGTCGGTGAGCGAGCATAACGGACTAAAGCTTGTTTAAGAACAGCAAATCCAACAGGAAACAATACGACTGCATGCCACCGAGTTGGATAACAAATTCCAACAGGATTACAAATTCCAACAGGATTACAGCCTCACAGCCTCACTATCAGAGCATCGCGACAGAGCTGATAGAGTAGAGGTGCAACCAATCGAACGATCCAAGAGGAGTATCAGCCGATAGTAGAGGTGAAACCGATCGAACGATCCAAGAGGAGTATCGGCGATAGTAGAGGTGCAACACCGATCGAACGAGAACGATCGAAGAGAGATGCCGATAGAGTATGGCGATAGAAGAGGTGGATCGAACGATCGAACGAGGAGTAATATAGTAGAGGTGCAAACGACAGAGGAGAGGTGCATTGCAATGGTTTGTTTTGAGTCTTTGTTATCTCAAAAAAAATAATCTAATCTTCTATTAAGTCTTTTGTTTGAGTCCTTTAAATCACCATGCTGATAGAATATTGGTAGCCCACCAAGTGATCACTGTTAAATCTTTTTGAGTCCTTTAAGTCCAGTAGTGTTACGTTTAGTCATTTGTTTAGTGGCCGGGTAGACACCACGTTTTGACTAAAAACTTGACTAAATTGTTTAGTCCCAGATTTAGTCATCTGGTGGTAGACACCACCATTACTAAAGGATAATGACTAAATCTTGAACTAAACAACCACCTAAAGATTCCTTTAGTCCCTACTTTAGTCGCTTGGTAGAGACGGCCTAAGGACCTTTGTGCGTGGGCTGACCTACAACGGTTCTGATACTGATGAATCATCATAGTATCGTTGACATGGTGTTGATGAGGGACACGTGCCGTGTTCTCCTTATCGGTGTTTTTCTGGATATGTCGTTGGCGACGTTCCTTAATGATTGACGCGCGTGAACTTGCACGAAGCCATGTTCATCCCGGAGAGCCTTCTCGACCTCTCGGGGACTCACGTTCTCTGTCCATGACGACCGGTCATGGATATGGGTAACCACGTCTGTTTCAGAACGATGGTTACTCCGTCTGCTGTCTTGGAGCAGCCCTTGTAGTTCATTGGTCCAATGAATCTACGAAGTTCCTTCCTGTTGGTGGGAAGAGCGATAGCTGGATGCATCTATTGTCTTTTTTTGGTAAGGGTTGGCTTCCTTCTCGAGAAGTCCAATTGTCTAGATACTCCAGTTCTTCCTTTTCGAGGAAGGCCTTGGTAGTGTTGATTTCAATCCCGACTTCTTGGAGTCTTTTGGAAATGGTCATCTACTATTCAACGCGATCTGCGAGATCGACGTCCTTAGGATGAGTTGATCATCAATGTATGCACGGACATTTTCTAAGTCATGCAGGCGTGTTTTCATCTTCCTTTGGAAGATGTCGGGACTATTACATAGGCCCATTGGCAACCTCTGGTACTCGTGCTTTCCCTTCGGGAGGATGCATGCATGCTAGTGTTGCTTCGAGTGGGTGACAGCTCGATGTGTAGTGTCCCGTGTTCAGGTCTAGACTGTAGCGCACTTGATCCATCTGGTTCAGAGCATGTCCTGTATTTTTGGGATAGGATAAGGCTTCCGCTTATCCTTTTGTCCGTTCCTGGAAATCAGAGATGAATCGTACAGATCCCTCTTTCTTGGAATGATAAAAGTTGGTGCCGCCCACTCGGAACTTCACCTTCTTGAGTACTCTTCCTCGCAGAGACGTTCAACCTCCTTTTAAGAGAGTTGGTATGGACCCGTGGAGTAGGTGAGCCCTAGTATAATAGGATTTAGCGTCGGGACGAAGTTCTACCTCGTAGTCGTCCATTCGCAACTTCCCGAAGTATCCTCGACTGGGTCGAAGCACTTGGTTGAAAAGATGAGGCAGTTCTTGCTCTTCCTTATTTAACGGTTTTCGACTCTGGCACATCTGCCTTAAAGTCTATTTGTTCGTATATTGTATCAAGAGTCTTCTCGAGACTGTCTACAGTGTCGCTGACAGCTGCAGGATCGGGAATGGAGAAGTTCTCCTTTTATTGTTATTGCCATCTTTCGCAGGGAAAAATGCGCGTTCCACCCCAATGACATGTATGAAATCAAACTTGATTCTTAGGTCGCGAGAGTGTCATGACTTATGATCAAATCTTGCGCCCCCAAGTTCTTGGTGACGTGTAATTCCATTCGATAATTCTATCATCGGAACTCAGGAATCACGAGTGTGCCCTTACACTTCGTGCGGGGTTTCGATTCCTTCATAGAAGCAGTCCGTAATGTTGGACGCCCCCATGATTCTTCCTGAGTAAACTCTTAGCATGATTTGAGTAATAAAGTTCCGGATGCTCCTGTATCCAGTAAGCACAAGAGTGTAACGGGTTTTGTTTCCCTTTCTCTCGTCTGTTAAATCTAACATAGACGATAGTTTCGAGGTCTCTTGTCTTGCGACGTTGAGTTGTTGGCCATGGACGAAGTAACGTGCTGAACAGATCGTCAGCGTCTAGTGAGTAGTTGCTAGGCAATTATCTAATTTGCCGTAGACTTCTTAGTTGCAAACAAATCTTGTTTACTATTTAGTGAGATATCTTCATCACTTAGGTATGAGAAATCGGAACATGGTTCCGTTGAATCATCATCCTGGCCTAATCTCAGACGAGATCTCTCCATCCGAATGATTGAAGTCGAATTCGGCAAGCGCCTTGTCAACAGCAGCCATTTTCTTGTCCATCATGTTGATGGATCCACAGAGGAGTCGTCCTCGTTGTCGAGTTGTCAGACTTGCGCTTGCAACATGGTTGCATTCGCTTTTCTTCTTGCGATCAGCTTGACCGCAGCGTTGGAAACCTTCTTCATGAGGACAGAGAGTTCCTTCTTGGTGTAGGTCTTGGCGTCGTCGGACTTGCGTTTCCAAGTCTTGTTCTTGTTGTACGCTGGCTTGTTATCGTTGTCAGACGAGGACTGAGACTTGGCCTTGAGCTTCTTCAAAGTCATGCAGTCAGCAGTGTTGTGAGTGCTGGACTCGTGGTAGTCGCACCATTTTTCTTCGTTCTTGGAAGAGTGGTCGTTGTTGCGAGTAGACTGTACTTCTTGCTGTTGTTCTTCTTCGTAGGAGCTTGCTTGGCATCACCGCCCTTGTCAAAGTCTTCGGAGGATTCCATGCGTTCGCAGAATCCAATGGTTTCTCCGATAGGAGCTGAGAAAGGATCGAAGTCGTGTTCGTCCATCTTCTTCATCCACGAGCGTGGAATTCCATGACAAACAATGTCAATGACTTCGTCATGTTCAACGTTTGGTTGGGTCCAAAAGGTGGTAGACGAGGAAGTTCATCGGTGTTCATCCCTGAGGTTGTTGACATAAGCCCGAGTAGACATACAGCAGGCTTACGCATCTTGCGGCGCATGAAGCGTTTCTGCTTTTCAAGAGCCTTGTAGGGACAGACCGCTTCGATACAGGCATTTATGCCAAACGTAATGTCAGCGTCGTCCAAAGCAGGCTGAGCTGCTCCGTTCCAGGCAGCCTGGAAACGTGCTTGGAAAGTGGCTTCGTCTTCACCGCCACGTATGTCGCGTGGAGGAATCGCGTTGACTGCAATCTGGCGCAAGGCATTCCAACGTATTTCACGGTGGCCTGCACAGCTAGATTCGTAACTGCTCTTGGCAGAGCTAGAAGTCATCTCCTTGAGGAGGTTATGTTTGTCGTCAGGCGTAGCAATGGCAAGCCCGACGAAGACCTTCTCCATACGTCCAGCCCACTTGATGGTCTGACGTGGAGTCTCAGATCCATTAATGATTTGGACCTTGAAGGTGTACTTGGCACTGTTAGCATCTGCTGGAATAGTACGAAGTTTGTAGGTGGTAGAGCGAGAATCGTCGATTTCGCATTCATCATCGAGGTCGATGAGAGGAAGGATTGGTTTGTCACGCAGCTTAGACTCGAAGCTGGTGTATGCGTCTTTGGCAATCTTCATGGTGAGGAATAGTTTGAGGGTAGCTGAAAGCTATTGTGTTTGTTAACAAAATGCACTACGCTAAAAGCTAGTGTAAAGATCTTTCGAGTGTTTTGAGTTTGAGAGAATGAAAGTTATGAGAGGATTAGAAAGCTATGAAAACTAATCAACGAGAGAGATCTACAACCAAAGGATCGTAGATCTGAACTCCCGCGGGAGACTGTAAAGTGTGATAGAGTAGGTTGCGGTAGCAATCCTACTCATTCCACGATCCAAAAACGGAACGCGTGGAAGATTCGTCTAGCATTTATCTAGTGGCGTGGAAGTACTCCACGCTGGCTAAATATCTAGAGCGATGTTTCATCATCAACCTAGTATGACTAGAGCGGTCATTGAGAACCCTGTCTCAATGACTATTCACGAGAGACTCAGTCATGAGTCGAACTCAAACCCTATCTAGGATCGAGTCGCGAATAAGGCTAAGAGCCGTGTATTGCATTTTGGTGCACAAGGCGAGCGGAACTCGAGCGTTCCGTCGATCGGACAACGGACTATTTTATTCAGACGCACAGGAAGACGGTGCTGTCCGCAGGAGTGGAACCGATGGCAGTCACGATCACAGGAGTGGCCAGCAGGTCGCTCTGATTAACACTGTAGACGATAAAAGCTCTAACTATTCCGTTAACGCTTATTGCACTACGCTAAAAGCTAGTGTAAAGATCTTTCGAGTGTTTTGAGTTTGAGAGAATGAAAGTTATGAGAGGATTAGAAAGCTATGAAAAACTAATCAACGAGAGAGATCCACAATCAAAGGATCGTAGATCTGAACTCCCGCGGGAGACTGTAGAGTGAGATAGAGTAGGTTGCGGTAGCAATCCTACTCACTCCACGATCCAAAAACGGAACGCGTGGAAGATTCGTCTAGCATTTATCTAGTAGCGTGGAAGTACTCCACGCTGGCTAAATATCTAGAGCGATGTTTCATCATCAACCTAGTATGACTAGAGCGGTCATTGAGAATTCTGTCTCCAATGACTATTCGCGAAGGACTATGTCATGAGTCGAACTCAGACCCTATCTAGGATCGAGTCGCGAATAAGGCTAAGAGCCGTGTATTGCATTATCGCAGAGCTGAGCTAGCCAGGAAGATACAAAATATCATCGGCAGACCATCCCTTCGTGACTACCTCAAAATAGTCGACAACAACATGCTACCCAACTGTCCGGTTACCCGCGAGGACATCATGGCAGCAGAGGACATATTCGGATCCAACCTTGGTTCTCTAAAGGGAAAGACAGTACGTCGGTCTGCAGGAGTGCACACAACGGTGATCATGCCGCTCCCACCGGAAATCCTGGAGCGACACCAAGCTATCACATTGGCAGTGGATATCATGTTCGTGAATAAGGTGCCATTCCTGGCCACGTTCTCGCATGGTATTCGTTTCGGCACCATCCAGCACCTGCCTAACCGACAAATCACGACCATTGCCGATTGAATTCGCAAGGTCAACCAGTTGTATACGCGAAGAGGATTTCGTTTGCAGTAGATACACGCCGATGGGGAATTTGAACCCCTACGAGCACTGCTGCTGGAGAACGATGCAACAAAGCACATTGGCCTCGAGATGGTGGCAGAAGATGAGCACGTTCCCGAAATCGAACGATCCATTAGGACTATCAAAGAGCGAGTCCGTGCCATGTGGAATGTCATGCCTTTCCAGCGCCTACCGAACCGACTTATCATCGAAATGGTGACCAATGCCGTAATGTGGCTAAACATGTTTCCCCCACAGCGTGGGGCATCTGCCACCATCAGCCCTCACACCATTGTAACCGGCGCCAAGGTGGACTACGCAACCCATTGCAAGCCTCGAATGTGGAGCTTACGTCCAAACCCATGAGGAACATGATAACGGAATGGGCTCCCGAACCATCGGAGCCATCGCCCTTTGACCTTCGAACGGGTCTCAAGGGAGCTACTACTTTCTCAGTCTGTCTACCGGCCATCGGATCCATCGGAAGAGGTGGACCGAATTGCCCATGCCCCATGATGTGATCACTCAGATCCACACGTTCGCCACACGTGATAAGGCTGCCCCTGGACTAACTTTTGGGTGGCGGGACGCAACCGAAATCATGGACCACGATCACGATGGTGACCAAGCAGATGACGCCATGGCGGACCCTGACTATAATCCCGCGCTAGACAGCGAGAACAACTACACGGACGACGAGTCACTAGGTGGACTCCCCGCAGGAGTGGACCCCATGCACCAACACGAAGTAAGTGCACTTGAAAGCATTGAAGAAGGGGAAGAAGAAGACGAAGATGAAGAATCCAACAGCGATACAGGCACGCAACAAGCAACAGAAGCGAACGCCAACAACCAACCAATAAACCATGAGGATGAGTCGGCTGAAGAGGACGAATCCGCATACGACCAGGGAATCGATGACGATAACCCACAAACTGAGGCTGATGAGCCGAACAACAACAATAGTGACGATGAGTCCCAAGGCGGACGGTCTACAGGAGTGGATTCCACGTCGCGACAACTAGCCAAGATCACAGGAGTGGCACCGAACGACATGGATGAGACATACGGAGAAAGAACCAGACAGGGTCTCAGGCAACGAAAGCAAAGGGAATACAGCAAGCACCTGTGGCTGGCAGAGCCGAGCGATCACACAATCATGACGCAAATCCTGTCGCAAGCAGGAACTCCCACGGAGCAGGTGATGACGCAATTTCTGCTGGAACATGTCGCCCACACACAGTACTCCGTGAACAAGGGCTTGAAAGTTTTCGGCCAGCCGGGAGCTGAGGCAGTCATCAAGGAGATGCAGCAGCTGCACGACAGGAAGGTTGGACACCCGGTCAAGGCAACGTTGCTCACTCCCGAGGAAAGAAGGAAATCATTAGAGTATCTGATGTTCCTCAAGAAGAAGCGCTGTGGGAAGATCAAGGGACGTGGATGTGCTGACGGAAGGAAGCAGCGAATATACAAATCGAAGCACAAGACGAGCTCTCCAACCGTGATGACGGAATCTTTGTTCTTATCCTGCGTGATCGATGCCACAGAAGGAAGAGACGTTGCAACAACTGATATTCCTGGAGCATTCATGCAGGCCGACATGGACGAATTGATCCATGTGCGATTCACTGGACCTATCGCTCTCCTGCTAGCGAAGGTCGACAACAAGCTGTACGACAAATACATCACATATGAAAGAGGAAAGCCCGTGATCTATGTCAAGCTGCTGAAAGCACTGTACGGGACGTTACAGGCAGCATTGCTGTTCTGGAAAGATCTTGTTGGATTCCTCGAGGCAGAAGGTTTCGTGAGGAACCCATATGACGACTGCGTGGCCAATGCTGTGATAGACGGCAAGCAGTGCACAATACTATGGCATGTGGACGATTTGAAGATATCCCACGTGGACTCCAAAGTTGTGGACAAGATACTCGCAGCACTGAATGAAAGATATGGAAAGGAGGCACCGTTGACCACCACACAAGGAAAGGTACACGAGTACCTTGGCATGACGCTCGACTACTCTGTGGAAGGAAAGGTGTCGATCCGAATGGACCAGTACGCAGATGAGATAGTCGAGGAAGCAAGAGCAGACATGGCTGGTACCGCAGCTACTCCCGCGGCTGAGCACTTATTCGAGATTGATGGAAATGCAGTGAGGCTCAACCAAGAGGACTCCGAGTACTTCCATTCGATGGTGGCAAAGCTACTGTTCATATCAAAGAGGGCGAGGCCGGATCTGCAGCAAGCCGTGGCATTCCTGACTACACGAGTGAAAGGACCAGATGGCGACGACTACAAGAAGCTTGGACGAGTTGTGAAGTATCTACGTGACAACCCACACCTTGCATTGACACTGGAAGCAGACAGTCTGAACGTCATAAAATGGTGGGTGGATGCGTCTTACGCCGTCCACAAAGACATGAGGAGTCACACTGGGGCAACCATGTCATTAGGCAAGGGATGCGTGTATTCCTCGTCGACGCGACAAAAGTTGAATACAAAGAGTTCCACAGAGGCAGCACTAGTTGGGGTAGACGACGCCATGCCACAAGTCCTGTGGACGAAATACTTCCTCGAGGCTCAAGGGTACGAGGTGAGTGACAACATACTGTATCAGGACAACCAGAGCACAATGCTGCTAGCAAAGAATGGTAGAGCGTCAAGCGGTCGAAGAACACGACACATCAACATTCGGTACTTCTTCATAGCAGACAGGATCAAGAATGGCGGGTTGAGTATCGAGTACTGTCTGACTGGTGACATGAAGGGAGACTTCTTCACCAAACCTCTACAAGGGACAAAGTTCCGCGAGCACAGGGCGTTCATTCTGAACTTGTCAGATGGTGCCTCTGTTGCTTTACGAGCTGCGGCGACAGCAATGGATGCACAGGAGTGTGTTGAGAAAGAGTCACAGATGAAACAAGACTAGGAATTGGTGACTGGACAGGGTCCATTGGATTTGGAGAATTCCCAGAGAAATAGTCATAATTTTGTTTTAATCTAGCTGAATTGATTGAAGCTGTGCTAGGACCTAGATAGAGGACCCAATACAAGGATTGGAGTTGCCTGATAGGCACTAGGACCTGGTTCCTCCCTAGTCACCTCAACAGCGGGCCCTGGCGTTGTCTCTGAAGAATCAAGTTGGGCTGGTCTAGGTTCTGCAGTGGGTCCATCAGATGGGTGCGCCACAGCTGCTTGGACCAGGTTACGGTAGGCCCTTATTAGAGTATGGTAACATGTACTGTACATGTGGCCCAGACTACCTCTAGCCAGAGAGCTTGGTGTTTAGCCGGGATATGCGCTGTCCATACCGGTAAGCAAGCACAAGAAAACAGCAACGTACGGTACGGGATTGTCCCTTCCGCGACTGAGAGGGCCCGAACCCTCTTCAACCAAAGAAGGATCTTTGGTTTGGTCTTTTGCGGGATGCTGACATGCTGACCGTTCTTTCTCCAACAGCTGCCAATGCCTTCCAAACGAGAAAGATGCTGGGATAATCAATGGCCAATGGAGGTTTGCGTTGAGAATAATCTAATTGTGTTAAAGCGAATTGCACTCTTGAACTGCAAATCCCAGCCTTTCCATAGCACCCACTTCGAAATGAGGAACTCGAATAGACCGCTGAAGATCGGGAGGAGGGCTCAAGATACGCCTGCCGAAGGGAGAAGGAGAAGAAGGCTAATGCTCTCAGGTGGGGCCTTCAATATCCCGCTTGCGGTAGCAATATTCGTTGGATGCTTCTTCTGGGTTTCGACGAGCACAGAGGCATCTACATTTTCGACTCGACAAGTTGCAAGGGCGTCTAATTGGCAGACGCCTTCCTTTACTTCTCGGAGATCAAGACGGCCGCATTCCCAATCTGCACTTGACAACCACAGCAGCCATAGTGTCCACAGTGACTCGTTTGCAAAAAATGACCATTCTACCAGCGATGCCATGACGACTTATTCGGCCAAAGCCAGGTCCATTCGCACCACCAAAACAATCAGTAGTCGAGGCGGCGCCATTGCGAGACCAGACTCATTTGGGTATTTTCTTAAAGTCGGCTTATCAGGAGGTATTGCCGGTGCCGTTGGATCGGCCGCATTATACCCCATGGATGCTGCCAAAACACTTCGACAATCGAGTCCTGGCGATTACAAGAGTGTCTTTCAAGCTTTGGGAGCTCTCGCCTATTCCAGAACCACTGCAGGAAAATTGACTTGGCATTTGCAAAATGTTTATCGAGGAATCATCCCAGCAACATTGGGTGCCATTCCCAGTTCGGCACTCTATTTTGGGGCATATGAATCCATGAAAACTGTCTTGACACGGTACTTTCCACAAGACGAAAGAAGTACCAATAATTTTTCCAATCGACTGTTGGTACATTCATTGGCGGCAATGTCAGGAAATATACTGAGCTCGGCCGTTTTCGTTCCCAAAGAACTTATCAAACAACAATTGCAATTTCGACAGTCGGGCAATGTCGTGGGTGTTGTTATGGATATTCTGGCGACAAAGGGATTGGGAGGATTATACGTTGGGTACAAAGCAACCCTGATCCGAAACATTCCTACAGCCGTGTTGCGATTTAGTCTGTACGAAGAGTTTCGATACCGTTGGTACACTCAAGAGCAACTCCAAAAGGGAAAGAAAGGTAAAACACAGCAGCAGGGAGTATCACCCAAATTCTTCTTGGCGGGGGCCGCAGCCGGTGTCTTAGCCAGCGGGCTCATGACACCCGTTGATGTATTGAAAACTCGACTCGCTACTGGAACTTGCCCTCTCGATGTCAAGAGTTGCTTTCTCTGGGTTGTCAAGCAGGAAGGATTCGTTGGCTTGTATTCGGGGGCTGGGAGTCGTATGCTGTTTAGTGGAGCTTTCTCGGCCATTGGTTTTGGAACGTTCGAATGGGCCAAGAGTGTCCTGGGCGTATCATCGTCTACGGCGCCACCAAAGTCTATTCGCAAATCTGCCACAAGGGCGGTTCCCTCCAAGGTAGCCGTAGCAACGAGTAAAGAGCAGCAGGAACTTGAACGAAAAGACGAGCAACACAGAGCTCATCCAAGGAAACACCACTCTCAAGTATTGTTTGCTGCAAGATTCTGATGTTCGACATCTTGAACCCTCGGCGAGTTTGATCGAACGGGATATCGCCCAACGCACACGACATCCTTTGCACAACAAAATGTACAGACAGGTGTCGACCATTACTAGTAGCATGGATGAGAGCATTTGAATGAAACTAAAAGCTACCATAAAGATAGAGCCTTGAAAATGACTTGAGGGGTGAGCGAAGCACTGCCGTAAAAGAGTCAGGCCAATCCCACTTTCAACGTCGTGGCGAAGGAAATTGTTTGGCCTAAAATAAACAGCTAGTTCGAAGCATTGTACCGAGGCGTACGGACTTTGAATGATGTAACAGCATTCTTAGACTGAGAAGAACTCGATTGTCCAAACAAGGTTCTAGCAGGTTTAGACATACTGTCCAAGACTATAATATTTTGTTCTTTTAGCTGGCTTGCGCTTGTACATCACACGCTACTGCAGTTTCAGATGCATGTGGGTCCTCAAAACTTTCCGGTGATTAATGAGTTCATCATGTTGTTGGGCATCGAAGAACGACTGTTTGGTTGTCGCCCAGAGGCGGTTTGATAGTCCTCCTGCAGGTCACTGTCAACTGTAAACAATGGAGGAGGGCGTTCATAGTCCGTTGAGGGAGCTGTGAACCGCCGTGCTGGTCCGACATCCGCCTGTGGAATGGGATCGGGCAATCGGAACGAGCCGTCTTTCATCGAGTTTTCTTTGACGATAGGTGGTCGTGCCGGAGCCGTCGCTGATTGTTCTTCTCCAGAACGTGGTTTCAAATCTCCGAATGGGACTTGTTCTTCTATGGGTTTGTCATCATAATCTAATTGACGCGGTTCCAAATCCTTGTCGCCCTTCTTGTCGTCATCGTTTGGTTCTGCTGGGGTTATTGCGTTTTCGGGTGTTGGGACGTGTCGTAGATTGAGTTTCATCCAAGGCGGTTTCTGACCATTCTCCTTTTCGGGAGAATCTAGCTCAAGCTCTGCAGTAGAATCGTGGAGTTTTCCAACATCCGATGGAGTCCTCTTCAAGCTATCGACACCGCTCACAATACTAATGTCCGATTCATCATACTGACCGCCTTGGGATCGATCAGAATCCGGCCCCTTTGGTACATAGGGTGTGATTTTGTGAAAGAAGTCCAGGTCCACAACAAGGCTTTTGTTGATATCCAAGCAAACACAATCCGCAAAGTGGGCTTCGCCAAAGTGGATGTCTTCCACTTGATAGGACTGAATAGCCTGAAAGGTACCCGAGGCTAGTGGATCAATGCCCTCTACAATGCACAATACTTCTGAAATGTCAGATCGAAAGAATTGTTCCAGCTGCTGCATCGACCAGGTTGTTGACTTTTCGAGCAATCTGGACCAATCGTCCCAATCTACCTCTCTGTGACTTCCTCGAAAGGGAATTTCGTCATGAGTTTCAGTCAAAGAACAGAATTTGCCGTGCTTGATCAATCGTTCGGCCGTCCCATAGGATTCCGCACTGCGGGGACAAGGCAATGTGAGCACATGTTGGTAAACTTGTTAACGCGCAAGCAATGGTGTCACTGTCTTGCTTGATACACTTACCAGACAGGACAAATCACGTCGTCACGGTTGTTGGTTAGAGCATCCACTTGACGTAGGTGCAACCCACCATTGGGCACAGTCGCCGACGCAGGGCATCTGGTTTTCGGCCGCGGCGCCATGGGGCTGTAAGCATCCATAGCATGCACAACTTGACTGGGAAGACTGAGCATCAGCATGGACCCAAAGTCATCATTCGGGATAACGATACGAAGAGGAATGGGGATGGGTGACTTTTGTGTGACAACATACATTCTGACATGAGCTTCTACCACTGGGAAGGTCCCGTCGACATCAAAAACTCGAAATGAGAAGCACGGATATGGGACATCTGGCCGATTGCTGAAGATAGCCTTGTTGGAAAAAATGACTTGGATTCCACGTGATTCGGACTTGGCAATTCTAGCAAAGAAAAATGCAAATAAGAATGCATTGAACATCATACTCCAGACCTAAACCGATGGGAGAAAAGCGACAAAGAGTCAGTTGATACCTCCTGATACAAACTCCCATTCATGTGATAATACTTACCATTTGAAAGTAAATGGCCACAACAATATCAGGGCACTGATTTTCAAAGAAGGCATTGGTTCCGTTTGGCAGGCCATATCTTGGGGAAGGAAAGAAAACCAATTAGAGATGGAGTGTATCATTCTTGTGATCTCTTTCACACTGCCTGTTTGACTCACCCTACAGTAGTACAAGTCTCCAACGAGAATGCAAATGCCGGTCCCAACTGAATTGGCTGTCCAGGAGCTCCAAGACCGCAATTTTCATCGAGTCGATCTGTATCAATTCTCATGTAGATTCCTGCAAAAACTAGAATACCAATGGTCCAGACACTGAGTAGCGTTAAAAGTGATAACCACAAATTCAACCGCAGGCCCACATGGAACCAATCATTGAACAGCAACGAAAACAAGCGCAACTCGGAATGTTGATTGGCCACTTGCAGGGTATTCTTGGATTGATAGAATGGCAAGTTTCGTTTTATAAGACGATGCTTACTGGAAAAGACAGTCTTTGCTGGACTCAGACTGCTGGTAGGGAGCATGTGCGCGGTGGTCCCAATTCCAAAGCGTGGTCTCGGGGGTGGGACCATTCGCACAGAATGTCTTCGAAAGGGTGATGGTGATCGGTTCGAACCTCGCCTACGGCTTCTGTGGTGGCTAGAATCACCCAAACCTCTGCTGCTGGTTCTTCGGCTGCTACGTGATCTGTTCATGCTGGATTCCATCTTGTCTGTTGATCTGATGGATGCTCTAGCAAATGATATAAGTTATGGAGTGCACTAAAGCGGAAGCTTCAGATTTTTCTGTTTGTTTGGATTGTGGTGGCAATCGAAGAGAAGCGTGACAGCGGGGAGACGTCGAAAACCCAAATTTGCCGTGAGCCACCTTTCCGTTGTGTTCCGTGTGTCAAACCTTTGTCCGCAAGCAACCTGGGGCAGCTGTGAGACCTGAAATGCTTATTTACAGTGTAAAGGGTCAGAGGTGACGGCCAGACATCAAATGGGAGTTGCTCACCAAAGTTGGGCGTACGGTACCAGCAGCAAGGTACTAGTACTTTGCTCGCAGCCCCACAAATGCCAGAGCCAGTTTTTCAACTAGCATTCTCTGCGGTTTAACGTTCACCGATTAAGCAAAGTTTATTATTGCCATTATTCCGTTTATTTTGCCATTTTGTACCAGGGAGAAAGGTCGCCTCCAACAAGTACCGGTATCATCCATTCTGTGATGACCACATTTGATGCGCCTTCGATCCATCTTTGTAATCCTTGTTGGTACCTCGTTGGTGACCTTTCTTGTTCTTGTCAGCAGCACATTTGGCGACTGGGCGGCTGTGACCGACACAACCGATAGCAGCCATGTTGTCACAAGCAACAAGCCTGTAGTCAAATCGAACCGTCTTTCTCAATCCCGAAACGAAATCCAAACTACGGCTGGTGGGGTCATCTTCTTCTTCCATGTCATAAAGACAGGCGGCACCACCATCCGCGACAACTTTCGCAACAGTAGCAAATTCCCAAGCGTCCAGTACGTTCTCGTCAACACTCTCCAAGAATTCAGAGGCGTCCAACCCAAAATAGAGGAGAGACTTCTTCGTCTGGGAGCGAACATGACAACAAAGACGCTTTTTGTAGAACTCCATGGACGCAATACACCAAATCTGCTTGAACTGGCACCCATACTACAAAACTGGAAAGTCCAAGCACAAGCCAATCAGGTTCCCTTTTTCTCCTTTACACTACTTCGAGATCCAGTCGATTTTGCAGTGAGCTTCTTCAACTTTTTCCATGTCTTTGGCGACAAACGGTTTGGACGGGCCATGCCAGCCACGCTGGAAAATCTGCAGAAAACGCTGCAATGGAATCCACAATGCATCTACCTCGTACGAGGGGAACGACCCTATTTTCGACCCAGTCACTACTACAATGTGACACACCAAGACTGTCACGAGGCTGCAGAGTCATTGGACAATGTCATGGATTGGGTGGGAGATACCCAACAATTGTCCACGGAAACGTTGCCTTTACTGGTGAAATTGGTGACTGGCACTGCTCCAAGCACAGAGTTTATGGATCGGCACATTGCATCCTTCAATGTAGCTGCAACACGCAATCAGCGAAACAAACCCATGTCTAGACAATTGTTGGATGCAGCAACATTGGACATGATTCATACAAAGACTCAGCTGGATCAGTGGCTTTTGCATCACAGCATTCGTAGACTGAACACGGAGGGATGATGCAACGGTAATGCACAAATCTTGGTGTCAATGCAGCTGTCGGAATCAAAACTTGCACGGTACAGTACCTGTAACGCTGCTTGGAAACTGAACAGAGTGGGAAGCATATTCTTTCCTTTACAGTACCTGATGGCCTGCGGAAGCGCGAGAGAAACCTCCCAGGATCAGGGCAACGTGCCTTTATCTTACCGTACAGTGTTCTTGATGCGATGCCATTCTCGGTGCACTTCTACTACTCAGCTGCTTGGAAGCTAGAAGAAGAGGGACGGCGTTTTCATTCATTCCTTTCTCATACTTTGGTAGGCTCAGCGATGATAGTTGTGTCCTTGTGCTACCGTATCATCTCTGGGCATGGTGTGTCAAGGGGGTGAAGCCATGGACTGTGGACCCGACATTGTGGCATTTCGACAGGCTTGCCGGCTTTCTGTTGACCCTCAGGATCGCAGTGGATTCCACCAGGTATCTTCCTGTAACATGGGAAGTTCCTTGAAGTCTCCTTTGTGCTTACTTACTTGTGGGCCTTCCAGCTTTTACTGCTGGTTTGGTTGTCTGAAGTTGTGACAGGGTTCCGCATTCTGATCAAAATTAATCTTGCGGTTTCCTACAGTATTGTCGGTGTGCATGCATGGTCGTCTTGTTCTCGAGAAGGATGGGAGAGTACCAAGAGAACGATAAAAAATAAAAACAACACAAGAATCCATTTGACTCCATTCCGCAATTGCACGGCACATTCGTGTCAACATTGCTGGCCAAATGACAAGCTCAATTCCTGTCAGTGAATATCATGTTCCTGTTACGCAGCCACCCAACGCAACAGAGGGTAACTCGTCAGCACTGGAAGAAGAGGGTGTGCATGTCACCATTGCTGGCCTGTACGACTATGCCGGATTTCCATGGGCTGCCGAGCTCTTTAACTTCACAGCTCGCCTAATAAACAACCACGAAGATGGCTGGTTCGACGACGTCCTTGACGGTGTCGAGCTGAGATATGATACCTACGACGCTGCTTGTGATCAATCGGAAGCCGTTAGCAATTACCTAGAATTCACTCGACAAGGCTCCCCTCCTCATGGGATTGTGGGATGCCGTTGTTCGGGGCCAACCAAGGATGTGGCCTTCCTGGGATCTCTGGATGAAATACCTGTGGTGTCGCCCTCTGCGACTACACCGGCTCTTAGCAACAAGCAAGAATATTCCCTCTTCTCTAGGCTGGTTTCCCCGGATGATGCGTCAGGAGAGGTTGGAGCCCTCATCACTGTCTTGCAATCCTTTGGTTGGAACAGGATATCCATTATAAACACGGGTGAGTGCAGGTGGCAATACAACATGAGATGCTTGAGCACCCTTGTCGTCACGCTCACCCATTGACTTCTTGCATCGAAAATCAAGACAACGAATACACCAATGATCTTGTGACCTATTTGAAGAACGCGTGGGAAGGCAGATCCTTCGGGGTCGATGTTGTCGGCGAGATTGCGTACACTGGCACGGTAAAGATCATAGAAGGGTCGGAGGAAGTTGACCCTGCCTCGGTAGAGCAAGTTCTGCGAAACGTTCCCGTGGATAAACCCGCCATCAACTCAAAAGTGATTGTGCTAGTCGCTCACCATCAGCACGGCTATCCTGTCCTTCAGAAAGCACAAGAGATTGGATTTCAGCCCGACACCATCTGGGTGGGAGTGAACGCATGGACTGGGCAGTTTCCTCCTCCTGGAACTGATGTATCATGGATGCCCAGCGTACCAGGTCGGTCCAGGATCAGTGTGTCCCAAGTACTGGAAGGACCTTTCAAGACCCTCATTTTTTTTCTTTTGCCACTCTGCTTTCAGGATACATTGGCATTGCGCCCTACCGAGACCTAAATGGAGCAGTGTACCAGGATTACGTGAAGCGGTTGCAGGAAGATCAACGTCTTCACAACCGTGAGATCTCAGACGGTCTATCGTACTGGGCTGCGGATAGGACAGTGGATAGTATCTTGGCTCTTTCCATGGCACTTTCCAAAACGCCGCTGCATCAACGTAGGAACGGGACTGCTGTAGTCGAACAACTGAGAGGTTTGAAGTTTCACGGAGTGAGCGGCCAGGTCGAGTTTGATGAGAAAGGGGACTGGGCAAATCCTCGCTTTGAAGTCTTATCCTTGCAGAGTAATGACCCGTCGGTTGGATGGATTTCTTTGGGCACCGTGGTACCTGGAGTCGCGAACATCGACCATGGCAAGGTCTGTTACGCTGAGATTGGATGCGTCAATTACATTCCCTCCGAGCACTACCCGATCCCGTGGCCTGTTTGGGCTGTTGCTTTTCTCGCAACACTTGCGGTGGTCGTCTTCAAGCTGTGCCTTGTAGCCTTCTTGTACATTCGGGAGAAGCACAAGAAGCAGCCTTTGAAGGAACAAGTGAGACTTCTGGAAGATGAGCTTCGAGGCATCGATTTCAAGGGAGAGGCCGTACAGCAGAGAAAGGGGAAACTCTATCACCAGATTGCCAGCCTCCTCGATCAACCAACGCCCCCTCATTGGACTGATGACCACGGGTTGGTCCCTGTTCCCGTGAGATCTCCCGAGTATCTGGCTGTCCAAAAGAAGATGAGAGAAACCATGAATAATGACGAGACCTGTCACATTACGGCGCTCTACCGTGTCCAAAACGTGGGTATCTGGAGGTAAGACTGCCACAGTGTACTCGTCGTCGGGTAATTTCTGCTGTATCTTACTTTTGTTGTTTTGGAAAGTTATTATGTGTTCAGGAAAAACCAGTTAGCCAACAAGTACGGTGTCGATATCAATGATTCCGATTCTTTGACCGAATTGGATGTCTGGCACGGCACAAGCTATTTGAATCCTGATGTCATTTACAACGATATGCAAGAAGGATTCATGGTCAACTATGCCCAGCAAGGAATGTATGGCCGGGGGATCTATTTTGCTGAACGGGCAGGATACGCAGATTGCTACAGTTACCGAGTTTCCGGCGTGGCTGCACCTGACGAGAGTGCCAGTTTCCATGAGCAATCCGAACGGGAGATGTTCCTTGTGAAACTTCTCGTGGGCAGGTCGGCGGAGTTGAATCACGACGAGAACGAAGGCATGGCAGAGGCATGCCGGTCGCTGGTCGCCCCACCCACGGTAGAAGGAACAGATGGCCTCAAGTACGACACAGTAACCGGCATCGGCGACTCTGAGTATGGCACCCGTGTCCATGTGGTGTACGAGAACGGACGCGCTTATCCAGAGTATTTGGTGCGCTACCGAAAGGAAAGGTTGCACCCTTCCAACAGGAGACGTCGACGAGCGCCCGTTCAACAAGTGACTTGCGAGCTTGACAGCACAGCCACTACAATCAGCTGCAGCGAAGGCAGCGATGCTGCTGTTGGGGGATCTCTGACCACTGCAGCCACCACCAGCATTATCATGGATGGATTGCTGCCACTGCCGGAGGACATCCAAGGCTCTCTGACCAATGACGTCGTGGGTGGATTGGTCGCGCCCCCCGAGGACATTGAATCTGGACTTCCGCCTCCTTCGTCATCGTCATCGGCCGTTTGGATGTATGAAGCAGATCATGGCAGTTGGGAACCCTTCGGTGAGATTCATCAATCACAGATCGAGGCTGCCTATGAACGAGACCCCTCTTGCCCGCTGGCAATCCACTGCGAGCCATGGACCTACCTGATCGACTTTTCCGAGGGAACTCAAACCAACATTGATCATCCCAACAATCGGCAACGGAAAATCCAGCGGATGTTGCTGGAGTGATCAGTGATCGCAGGAAGTTTTTGTAGCGGGCTGAAGATGCCTGCAGTTTTCTTGCGTTTCCAGCTGCTTGCACGTGACAATGAATCTATGTTGTTGTTGTTGTATTACTACGATGGCTCTCTTTTGCAGCAGAGTTTTTGTTTTGTCAAGACAGTATTCGTACCAGTAGTGTTATTTATTATAAAGTAAAATTATGTATCGTACTGTACCGTACTTCTCCAGAGGCAATGGTATCTATCAAAACCGGCACCTGGAATACGCGTTCAAAAGAAAGTGTCTACGACAGAAACGAAAGCCTTTCAAAACTGCTACAAGGTACTCTATTCTTTACTCTTACTTGATACAAATCCCATGACCCATCCCAATCTTCTTGACAATCCGTACAAGACCAGCTCGCAATCTTATCCAACCGAGACAAGATAGGCTCTCGGGAGGTACGGCTCGAGGTTGCGGCAAAGGTTGCTGCTTTTACTTCCTCTCGCCTTGATACTGCTGCAAGCTCTGCTTGTTTTCTTTTAGGTACAGTAGGATTCTTTCCATTGTGACATGTAGTCAATGTACGTGTAGGTGCTCTGCCTCATTCTGTTGCTTGGTGGAGCCACATCCTTGGAGAATCTCGTCAATACTTCGTTCGCATTGTCCCTGTCTTCCCTTGCTATCTTTCCTCTAAGCTGCACGGTGCAACGTTAAGGTAGAGATCCTGCTCTTATCTTAGGTTCTTCATCAGCAACATGGAGAGGGCTCTGAATAGGCGAAGACCCCTGATCCAATCCACCGAGAGCTAATGTCTCCGTTTTCAGAGCTCCGCTTTGCTGGCCTGAAACTTCTCGGAATTCAATTGATGCTGGCGTCAAAGGTTCCGCCTTGAGCGACGCTCGGTCTCGTTTGATTGCCGTCCAGTGAAAAATTCGAGAATCGTTGATGTCGAATTTTGTTTGCAGCCCACTTTTCTCCAGGATTGAAAAAGTGTTTGTTTCGTGTCGTTCCTGATCTTTCGCCGTGGCTCTCTGAAAGACCAAAAACTCGAGCTGAGGCTGGCGTCGGATCCTGTCCATAACCTCCCCGTTCATGTCAAGGACATTCAGTATGCCGCCAATCCGAAGAATCCGAAGAGCTTCTTCCATCACATCCAAGATTGTTTGTTCTCGTAGAGTGGACGCCAAGAAGGAGACGGATACACTCGAATAGTAACAGTTTGACTTACTGATCGAATTTGGTGTGGGTGGACAGAAAGATGGATTCGTCACAACGGCAGGCGGGAGAAACTCGACATCCGATGGGCTCATTGGTGAATCCAGGTGTCCAGCGGTGCGTTTCTTGTTACGATTGGTGAGGCCCACGGGTGGGTGACGGTTCCCAGATGCGTTATCGTCGTCGACCAGCTCGTCTAACTCATCCCAATCAAAATCGAGGATGCATTTACTGGCATCAGTTTTGTAGGGCTTCCGGGGGATGCGACTGGTGCAATTGTCGCTCTCATTTGCCTCGGATTTGGCCAGTTCAGAGTGGCTGCCCTGGGTTGGTTTATCACTAAAGCACCGCTGTACAACTCTCTGCCACGGTGCTTCAGAGACCTGATGGTGAGATTTACCGCCTTCCTCGACAGTCTCCACGTGCTTTAGCTGTTGCCGGTACATTCGAAGAAGAGCGGCTTGCCTCATTTGAGGCAGACGAGGTGGGTTTGTAAACGACTTCTTCAGCCTGACTTGCTGGAAAGGTAAGCTGCGTTTTGGTGCAACTTTCTTGGGGAATGTGACCTTGCGAAGAGGTGGCTCTGGCTCAGTAGGAGATGCTATCGTAACTTTGTGACTGTTGATAGATGGCAACGTCAAGTCGCTCACTGCAGAGACGTTGTCGTTCACACCATCACCAACTGATCCCTGTTCTTCAACTTCTTCTTCGACCTCGTCGTGGAGGTTGTCAAAATCGAAATATCCGAATCTGTCTTCCTTTTCTTCGAGGCAATCGCTGACCGTCCACTCTTCCTCATCTGAAGCGAGGGACCTCAAGAACGAGTAAACGGTTATTTCAATGGTTCCGCAGTCACTGTTCGCTCCAGCTTGTTCCGGAGTGACAACTGCTGTTCGGACAAAGTCTTCAAAAACCGCAATCATTTCCGCCGGAGCATGCCATTGGCCATAACCTGAGATGGGCGTGACAGGGTTCTGTCCTTCGCATTGGGGGATAGTCACACTCGCATCCGCCCTTTCAATGCGCCGGTCCGAGCCACTCTCGCTGACAGAGTGCGTGCTCTCAGTGTTTCCTGATGTCCTCAGTGCGCTTTTCTGCCTTGATTTGTTCATGTTTCCGTCCACTACCGTCACTTGTTCAGGCCCTGTTTCCTGGCTTTCCATGGCGTCCGTACTGCTGGACGCAGAGCTGGACGCAGAACTGAGCGATTTGTCCACGTCTTCGAGAAGTTGACGGTTAGATTCCTCTTGCTGCCACGACTTCACCTTGTCATCGATTGAATTCATGATTTCGTCTCCCTGAGTTTGAACGAATTTCAGCTCCCGCACCAGATTTCGTGAACTTTTTGGCCTAATGGTCAAGCGCCTTCTTGCATGATCATCTGATGTATTCGCAAACTCATATTTGCTCGACGCAGGTGGCAAGATTGGAAGGGACAGACGCCTTTCTCTTTCTTGAGCTTGCCATTCCTCTTCATGCTGGCGCCAAGACTCACTTCTATGCCCATCATGTATGAAGTGGAACATGTCTCGTTGATCGCCTTGCATTTGGATGTGCCTGAGTTCTCGCACTAACAACTGGTTCTTTTCTTTGGGCGTCATGTTTTGGGGGCTTATGAATGGGCTTGGGCTTGATACAAGGGGCTCCGAAAATCCACCGGCAACATTCTTTGCTCCCTTCCTGTTGGTGTCTGGGGAAACCGCCTCCAATTGCTGCCCTGCAAAATCTCGGCGCGAATTCGCACATTCTCTTCCCTCAACCTTCACGGCGCATTCTTCATCAACCGTTGCTACATGAGGCGCATGGTCGCTTTCTCGGTCAGGTTTTACATCGTGCTCCTTGTATTTTGCAATCAATTCCAGAAAAGCCGACAGATTCACTTCCGCGTGCGACCCCAACGATTGACACTCTGCTTCCTCGGAATACGACTCGATCTTCCCCAAATCAGGAGTGACAGTCAACTTTTGATCCTTCGCGCTGCAGCCATCAACCATTCGATTACCATCATCACTGCGACCCAAAGAACGAACCTTGTTGGGCTCTGGTGAAACCACGGGGACCGTAGCCCCTTCGGCATTCGTTGCAACTTCGTCGTGGACTTTCTGTGGCTTGACGCAAGCGTTAGCGCTGCCAGGCATTTCTTCTTCTTGGTGTTCCGCACTCTTCACTTGCTGCATTAAACACCTTAGCTCCTCGAACGCATCAACAGCAGCGTCCAAGCGCTCGTCACAGCTCCCAATTTGATCGTGCCGAGCGTCATCATCAATGACCTTGTGAATCACCTTGACCTCGTTGATCAATGCTCGCATCTCCTCAAATGCGTCAAGATCTACTTCATCACATTTGACAGAATTGACCTTTAACATGTCCGGTTCCTCCCAGTTATCAACATCAATCTCTGTATCATTATGCCGGGAATATTTCATCAAGTCATCGCCTTGATGCCCCCCTCCATAGTCAGGGTATGTCAACGATGACATTACATGCAGATCATCAACATCAATTTCATTGCAATCATCAGAGTTTAATCGGGAGAAGTCAATGCCGTGCTTGATCGGCGACCTGTGTACCAAGATATCCGTGTCCACAAAATCGTCCACGTCAAACTCAAAGCTTGCATTCGTCTTGGGTGAAATTAGTTCACTCTCTTTGTTCCCCCAAGCGTGGTCGCTGCAATCTGTTATTTCGCGAATTAGTGCCTGCATTTCCTTCACCACATCAGTCTCGTCTGCCGTTTCCTGACTCTTGACATGAGCAAATCGACCATACTCGTGTTCCTCGACACTCTTGACTTGAGTAACCCTTGTCTGCGTTTGCATGACAACTCCGTCGGCTTGCTTGTTGTTGCGGTCTGGAATCTCTCCGACTGCCAAGCTCCGACTGCAGGACACGGAAGGCGACGGACTCGGTTCTATGATGTCATCATCTGAGGAATGTACATGGGATGCATGAATTGAAACACTGGGTGTGTCCTGCGGATCCATTGGCAGGCTCCCCACCAGCAAACTGCGAATGGATGACACTGCGGGAGACGGCAAAGAATTCTGTCTCGACATTATTTCGTCTTCCACAGCCGAATCGATGGTGGGCAGACGTTGCTGCTGCTCCGAGCTTTCTTCCATTGTTTCAACCACCATGTCAAATTGCCTGCACGATGTAAACAAGGATTCGTCGACGACACCCGAGTGACTATCGTGGTAGATCGTCGAACGTCTCCCATGCGTCGCACGGGAACCCTCCCTGCCGTGGTCACTGCCCAAGTGCACGAGCTCACGTACATCAAAGAGCGGGCGATCGCGTCTGCGAGTGCTCGCATCCCAATCCCGTACACTATAAAACAGTTCGTCCTCCTCCTCGACATCCATGGTGGTGGGGGTGTCACTTGCTTGCTGCATGGCATCCCTTTCTAAACTGCTACAGTCGTCCTCTTTGCATCTGGAACGTGTAATGGATTGTGGAGACATTGTCATCTGTAGGGGATTGTCGTTGTAGTCGTTTTGATTCAAAAAGGTAGAGCTTGTCGACAAGAGTGGGATTCTGTATTCTTCATAACTACCACTACCGTCTGCGAGTGCTTCTAGAACGGACGTTTCCATCCTTTGGATTGCTGGAATCGGTGGTTGTGGATGTTGTTGTCGTTGTTGTCCTTGACAGCCTGGTAACCACAGGCGGTTGTCATCGTATGTGTTGTTTTCGCAAACGCAATTTGTCCACGGGAGACAGTTCAGCTTTTGTGGATTGGGCTTCTTTTCTTCTGGAGTCTTCTGCCGCACTATTTCCTCCTCATATTCGTCATCGTCTCGCGTTGACAAGGGTCTTGACATGGGGATTCCTTCCAGTGAAGGAGACAGCAATGATTCGTCATCATCTCCCAAAGAAGTACTACTACTACTAGCTCCCAACACTAGCTCGGCCACATGCAGTGAACCCACAGAGCTATGATTGGATTGTGCCGAGAAGTAGCTTCGGTGGTCGTCGTCGTCGTCTTGTCGAAGATTGTCGCTGGTAGTCATGCTTCCAGTAGTACACCCTGTGCTTTCTCCATTCAAGTACGTGTCTTCATCTAGCGACATTGCCTCGGCAGCTTCCATCACGAAAGGCGCCTTATCATCCTCCTCAATCTCAGGAGACTCTTCACTAGTACCAGTAGTAGTGGGAGAAGAAGACGACGGGAGTAGCTCTATTTCCACATTGTCTTCATCTTCTCCTACTGTTTCATCCAAACACTGGGAGGCGCAAGGCAAGACAACTTCCACACCGCTTTCTTCCATGGTGCCTTTTGTCAAAATGGCAGTGGGATTGCGTGCTTCCGAGTGAAGGTCTCCACCAGCAGCATCGCCGGTAGAGGGGTGTTCTTCTTGGTGGTGGAGGATTTTGGCGGTGGAGGCTCTCACTTCCTGATTCTTGTGGGACGATTTGCCCACTCGAAAAAGTCCTTTGGAAGTCCTCTTTCCGCTCTTGGGGCTGCCATTGCCGTCTTCACCATGATCTGTAGAGCCTCCGTCTCGTCTCCGACGACGAAACACCGACGGTACAAAGGAAGAAAACATGGTTCGATTCACTCAAATCCCACCGGTACAGTACAACCTCGCGTACAGTACGGAATGTACTCGACAAAATCCGACTTGTGGGGTTCGCCTTTTTTCTTTGGCTGATTGTCTTTGCCTCCCCTCCCTCCCACTGCTCTATTGTTGTGGGAGACACGATCTTGATATCCGTTTCTTTCGTCCCAACAACTAACTTTATTCTCAGTGGATTGTTGGTGTACAACCCTCCCCCGCTTCAACGACGCGACGAGACGAGACCAAGGATTCGAATGCGTGTGATTGGTTTATTTTTCTTCTTCAAACACCACATGTGGACTGGCCGCTACAGTCCCCGCCACGTAAACGCACCGCTATGCAAGAAATAGTAGTGCGGGCGTCTAACAGGAGCCCCCCCTGCTTGTACGTTGAGGGCACGTGGGTACTAAAAAGACGTCGCTAAATTCTACTGGATTGGTACCCTTATTATAAGATATTTCATGGACCCCAGCCCTGCAGAGGGCAGGGATGACGGGGTGACAAGTGACAAACGATTTTATTTTGTCACCCTTTTAGCACGCACTGGTGATGGAAACTATTCATATCAGCAATTCAATTCTGTTTCCCAATGGTATCTGGTTTTAGTTACAATTGAACCATTGGATGGGTGGCTTCCGGACTCCCGCTTACTGAAGCAAAATCTCTTGGGCAAATGAATGGTACCGGTACTAGTAGCTCTACTAGAGTAAAATTGTGTCGAAGGAAAGACGAAGTCTGCTACTCGCACTTGGTTTAGCTAGCTAGCCAGGAACTCTGAAGTGGATACTAGCTAGTACGATACAGTACCGGGCCATTCCTCCGCCACCTGTTTGGGAGCCATTCCATGGTGGCCTTTCTGGTGAAATATTTAATCTTAATACAAAGGTATAAGTAAAACGACCTTAGGATGCAATCACGAGAGACATGAGATACGGTACCGAAAGTATTATTGGACCAACGGATGAAAACCTTTGATGTGAGTCCTGATGTCCTGATGAGTCCCTCCGTCCTCGCCAGAGTTTGCACTGGTCGCTGATAAATGCCTCCGAAAGCAATCATGGTGGGAGCTCTCCTAGATACAGTCGTGCTGTAGTGCCTCCAATATTGGTTTTGGAGAAGGGTTGTGATGTTGTGATAGCCGCATCAGAGATATCATTTTGGTAATTAGTCCATGCTGCCCGCTACTAGCTTGCTTGCCGAGGGCAAGTTGAAATGGCATACTGCAGGAACAAATGGCGATACATGGGGACCTTTTTGGTGAGGACTTTCAGAAATGCCGTGGGAAATTTCGGAAGGTGAATCTTTCCGTGTACGGGAGGGCAAAAACGCCAAGGAGCAAAGGAGCCAACTCCGACATCAAATAAACTATTGCTGTCAAGGGTCAGGCTGCCAAGCATTCATTTGAGCAGTTGCATCCAACAGTACGGTCATAATGGCGGCAGGCTAAAGTAGGAGCGACTTGGAAGATGACTAGTAGAGGAGTTTACAGAGTGGCAGCGCTATAATATATATATATTTGCTGTGATTGATAGTAGGTTGACGCGTGAAGTGCCCAATTCACTTCACGCGGTTGGTGCGGCGGTTGTTCGTTCCTGATGAATGCGTTCGGCCATGGCGGCGTCTGCCATGGCCAGCATGTGTGCAAATTGCTGCGAAGGCCTGGAAGTCTTGAGGCTGGCTAGTGCCAGACGCTCTGGATCTTTGACGCCCTCCAGATATTGACAAGATTGCTCCAAGAGGACAGCCGACTTCACTGAGCAGACTTGAATGCTACGAGAGATGGAATGCCCCTTCGACAAGCGCTCCAGACCGCGCTGTTTCCAGAACGCACTGGAGTGCTTGAGTACCTTGACAGCGGCACTGGTAATGTCACTGCTGCTGTCATTCTGTTGCGAGCTGTTTTCATTCATGTTGTCATGTTCAGCTGCAGCTGGCGTCCATGCCTTGTCAAAGGTTTCCATCAAAACCTGATCAGGGTTGACCTGGCGAGAAAGTTTGCGGGCAGTCCGACGGGAAGTGACAAGGTCTTCCTTGGAGTACCAGCAGATTTGTTTGTTGGGGAGTTGTCCTTGCCCTTCAACTACCTGAAGTGGCTCTAATTGAATGCGGACTCTTCTTCGCTTGCGGGCTGGCAGAGCATCGGACTCGCTCTTGCGACGGCGAGCAGGAGGCATTGGCTGGATCGCCGCCTTGGTCCGAAGGATCAGACCGTCGGATGCACAGCGACGCAGAGTCGGCGCTTCAAGGATTGGTTCCATCATCATCGTGTTGTAGCTCTCTTGGCTGATGCTGTTGTCAACGAGGAAAGTCATCGTGTCTAAAATAGCTGGCTAGCTGATCAGGTGTGTCACAGGAAAGATGAGAGATTGAAGTTGTGAGCCAAAGTTGGACATCAGAATGTCTTTTTTGCCTCAAAAGAAACACAGAGCACACAACCAAGTGATCTGCCTTGATCGTTGCATCTTCACGATTACGAGAGATGCCAAGTGCCAAGCTGGACTCAAAGTACACTTAAAACTATAGTTTTGTCGGCATCATTAAGTAATGAATGTTCCTATTCTGCTCTTGCCCTTTCGATGAACAACTTTGGGAGACATTATATTAAGTAAAAATGGTTAGCTTTTAGATTTTTACGATCTAATGACGATTTGAAGGGACTTTCTCCCTCTACGGTGAACCTGCCTAATTAAGGCGAAGACGGAGTGAGGAACGCCTTTCAGTTGCCAACTTTGACTGGCCAGAAATAATCCTGCAAGGCCGTTGAAGGAACGAAAGAAGGAGCGTTCTGGCTAAAAAGAAAGAGCTGTCGAAGCCTCAACCCACAAAAAGGAAAAGGATACTAGCTAGCTAGCTAGTAGCTAGTCTACGACAAGCTACCAGGTACCTGGTACAAGTTTGCAGGCTGCATGTCCCCTCGCATTGCCTTTTGTACAGTTGCTGTACTGATACTTGAATCGAATGATGAATCACAGATAAAGAGCCAAAGCAGCATACAGGTACTAAAAAACTAAAAACCCTAAACCCCGAAGGAAGGTCTAACATCATCTGCTAAAGCTACTAGTAGTCAGTCGTCGAATGCTTGACCGTCTTTACTTCACAAACCCGAGGTTATGAGAGTGGGTCTGTTCGCAACAAACTCAATTTGCCAGCTTCTTTTAAAAGCGGGAACTGCACTTGAAAACAAAGACACTCATGATAAAAATCAAAAAGCAATCTACCTTTTTGCTGATATTCTCTTCATCCTCATCAGTATCCAGCTCTTCGTTATCTTCCTGGCCTTCTCCTGTTGCTTCCTCCTCTTCGATTTCTTCATCTTCACTTTTCACTTGCATCATCATCACTCGCGCCGTGTTTTTATATGATAGGGGGCTGTGGTCGAGAGAGCTTCTTGGCCGCCTTCCATTGCCCTCTGGTTTCTGGGGGTTGATGTAGCGGAGAATATTCGCCATACCTCATAGGTATGGGCGAATGGCGGTTACAGGCAAAGTATAGTACGTTTTTTGCTCACAAGACTTCGCTAACTCTACAGTAAGCGACACAGTCAAAATTTAAAAAATGTCACTTAGATAAATCGAGTCTTGTGAGACATGTAAAGAATGAGCGAAGACTTATTCGCAGAGGTGCACAGTACCGTTGAAGACCTCATTTTTATCTTACTCACAATTTCGTACCTCTGCAGTCGTCGTCAAGTCATTGAACTGGATTCTCCTACACAGTCAACTACAGCAAAGCTAGTACTTCATCATGTTGCATACTGCTAGTGTTGCTTTTAAAGAATGGCTAGATGTTAACAGTCGCTACCCATTCAATGAGATTCGGAAGACCAGGCAGAGCTATGAACTCAAGTATGTTTTGTTGGTAGATGAAACTGACAGGGCAAACAGGTACAGCCAGTACTTTGTGCTAAAGGTAAAGTACCTTCCTAGTGTCATGGTTGAGAAACTCATAATGGAAGAAAGAGCTGTGCCCATGACACCTGATATGACCTGGATTCTGGAGACCATGACTGGATGGAGAATGAGGCAGAGCTCTGAGTGGTACAGTGATGTCCTTGCTCTGCTTGCTTTGGTAGTGGAGGAAGGAGATCCTATGACAAAGAAAGTGTTGTGCAGGATGATAGTTAGACCACTTATGAGGGATGCTCTCTATAATCAGTTTGGTGTGTGGGAGTGGGAAGCCAAAGAGTTCTTACTTACAGAGTGGACTCATTGGTTTAACACTGAGTGTTGGAGCAAGCACAAACACAACTTGAGTGGAATGGTCATCAGTAGCCAGCAGTACATTATCCACAGGGCTTCTCTCACTGCACACAATGGAGTTTATGCCTACTCCATGCTTTGAATATGTCTCATGTCTGAAAAGAAGAGGAAGCAACAGCTGTAAGATTGTTGTTGTTTGTTATCCAAGTAGCTGTCAACAGTAACATCAATAAAAACATACCTTGATGTCAAACCAATTGTCTCTTTCAACAGAGTTCTTGTGTGTTGGTTTGCTGCAAGTAGGACCAAAGCCATCACCAGGTCCATGGTAATCCTTTAGTTGCCAGCAATTCCCACAGTAGTTCCTTGTGCAGGTATTTGCCAAACCCTCATCATCATGGTGATCTCTTCTTTTGTGGCCACAAGTCATACAAAATCGCCTGCTCCTGAAGACTCTTCTGGGTGGTCTCATTGGAGGTCTTGTTGGCGCTGCTACTGGTTCTGCAATTCCATAAGGCGCCACATTCCTGAGCTGTTGCATCACCCTCTCTTGTACACCTTGCAGACGCCCCAGCACTATCTCTGTATTCTGTGTGTTTGGATTGCCTATTGGAGTGATGCCATTGTTGTGTTGAGTGTAGATGGGTGGAACAGTGTTGTGTGGCATGGGAAGTGCTTGCAAAGATTGGCGAGTTTCTCTCAAAGCAGCATTCAGCTGTGCTCTTGTTGGATCATTTGCCGTAGAAGCAGCAGCTTGCAAATTCCTACTCTCGCGAATCGACTTAAGGAAGTCTTCCAACTGCTGTCGACTCTTTCTGTTTATCTGCACAATGGTGTCATCTCCCTTGCTCCACTCTCTAAATCGACGAGCCACCTCATTGTTCCAGTTGCGCTCAAACGCCTTGTAATTAGGCTTGCCTCTTCCCTGTAAGTTGTAGTTCACATGCTCCACATTAAACAAGCGTTCTTCCTCTCTGTCCAAAGCGGAAGCTGGAGTCGCAGAATTCAAGGAGCGAAAAGGGATCCAAGGTTGCTTGTTACATAAGTTGGTGAACGCCTCCATAGTGCTGAGTCGCCCATTGCTATCTGGAAGCAGCTTGGCTAGTTCTTCTTGGATGAGCTTTCGATTTAAAGCATCAGCCTCCTGGATCTCCTCGGACTGTTCAAGATCCTGCAGATGCCGCTCAATGTCATCTTCAGTGGCCTCATTCCTTTCCTCTGACACGCCTTCTACCCTAACTCGTACATCGTCCTCACTGGCTTCTTCCTCTTCCTCTAAGTCTGGCGGTTGCTCATCCACCTTGTATTGAAATCCCATGAATTCCTTGGAAGCCAACTGGTCAACTGTAGGGGCTGAGATGCGCTTGAAGGGCAACTCGGACTCTCTATAGCCAACCTTTTTGGCAATTGAGTTAAGAAGCAGCAAGCGTTCTGTTTCAACAATGCCATAATCCTCCTCCCCCAGTCTTGTCACTGACTTCATCTGATTTCTTTCTTCGAAAAAGCCTGTCATTAACCGGTCAGCTCGGTGAATACCTATATTTAATAACAACACATCGAACTGTGAGTGACATGCAGAAACTGGCTGGAGCACCATTCCATTCAACTTACCAATGTGGGTAGCAGCCAAGATTTTGTGCGCCAAATCCAAGTTGTCTCGCTCATTGGTGTTGGTTCCTCTGGCAAGATAAGTCTTACCAGTAACTGGATTGTGCCGGAACACGTTGACCACTGACGAATCCGGGTCAGAAAGACATCCTTTGTCAATATAGGTGAACAGCTGTTTTATCTTGTCACGAGTTGCTCTGTCATTCTTCAAGAACAGCCTTGGAGTTTGACTTTCATTGTCGTTGTTTCCATCGGTGGTAGACAACAGCATTTCAGTTTGTGCGTCCTTGGCCGAAGATACTCTAGCACAGCTTCCACATTCTTTCGCAGTTGCTCTGGTGGTGGTATCACCGAATTGGCTTCCCTCATGATTTCTTTGTGTGTCGGCTCTCTGTTCCTCTTGGCTTGGAGGAAATCCTTTGCTCGCTCATACTCATGTGGCTCAACACAAAACAGAGCTCTGCTCAAAAGCCCACGAAAGACACCACCCATGGCAGAGTTGGGATCTCTTAAGCACTGATTCCATCGCTTCATCCAGTGAAAGGCGTCAAGGAGAATCAACACTTCAGAACCAAAGATACGCTTAAGTGAGACATGCACCTGGCAGCAGTTGTCGACATAGACAACTTTGACAGCGTCCTTCAGTTCAGGCTCATGTGCTGCCGGTGGCTCTTGGCCAGCAGGAACCAAGTCGCGAGCAGCCTCCTTTCTCCATGTGTATTCCTGCGCCCTCTTGTTGCGCTTCAATCTCTCATTAAGTCTGATGAGGTCTTCTTCAATTTCACTGAACGACTCAGTGTACTTCAGCGCTTTCCAAAACACTGTGAGTGCATCTTCATTCTGAATGGTAATGATGCAGCGGTAGGGGCAGAAGCTTTTTCCAGGACCAGACCACACTCTTATCTTGGAAGCAAGCTTGTAATTGAAGTCAATCTTCAACATTTCAGCAGTCAGGCCCTGCATCTTGCTCTCTTGGTACTCCTTGCGATGTTCAAAAACAACAGTAACCAGACAGTCAATCATGTGCTTGGAGATTACACGGCCATTGTAACCCTTCTTGTCTGTGAATTTGGAGAACAGAGGTGGCCGGTTCTCCTCCCCACCAGCTCCGCCATCGTCAACTTCCTCAGTTTCTTGGCCAGGCAACCCATGCTCTTCAACATACTCGGCGATTGCATCAATTGCTTGTTGCTCTTCCAGTTCGGCTAAGATGAGTTCTGATTCCAGCTGTTCCACTCGCACATTGTGGTTTGCGTAATAATTCCTGACCTTCTCCTGCCAGTGCTTTATCTTCTTGGACAGTCGTCTTGGATGGTCGTCCGGGTCCACAGCAAGGAGTTCCTGCATCGAATTAACACTCATATCAATCAACTGACGCAACTTTGTACTCCCAACTCCAGAAAGAATATTCTTGTTGCCGAACTTGTTTCTGTCCGCCTTGTCACCAAGCATATCCTTGAATCGAACATCTCCAGTAGCTTTGCCCCTGGCTGAGGATAGATTCAGCCGGATTCGTGTTGAATTGGTTTGCTTCACGTTCTTAACAAATTGTAGTCGCTTCAGGGCATCTGGTGTCTGCGTAAGAATGTAGTAATCATCCATTGTCCTTGCTTTTTTCTTTGGGCGTGTGTCAATCTTGTCCGCTCCAACCGCTGTAAGATATAGCTCAAAATCATTGTAGTATGCCGTGTACGCAAGACGCTTGAGCCTCTTGGCAATGGAAGCAGTGCACTCGGTTCCTGCTTCTAAGACAATCTGACTGTACAGTTCATCATCCACTGCATACCCGTGACCAAGATAATAGTTGAAATAGGAACCATAAACGCTAGAGTCCAACTTCATGCTGTCCTTGTTATATCCGGCGAATCTCCTGCCGCACAAATTGCATGGGTATAGCATGGTGTCCAGGTACTTGTGTCGAAAAATGCCAAAAAGGATTTTTGGATTGTTGATCCAGCGGGCTTTCAGGACATCAACGTAGCTGTTCTTCTTGCAGTGTGGACACGTTGGCACATGCTTGTCAAACTGTAGGTGGGGAACCCACACAGCGGACGATTTGACATAGAATGAAGAGGCCTTCACCTTTTTACATGCTCCATGGAGAACGTTGGTGTTGTGCCTGCCGCCGGAGGGACTGATATTCTTCCAGTCTTTTGCCTTGAAGAAAGCCCGATGGTCATTGTCGATAGAAGACCGGTAGCTCTTGATGAAGGAGCGTTGGGATGAGTTGAATTGCGAGAGTGGAGCATCGTTTGTTGTGGAGGGAGGGCCTGTCATTGTCGCTGTTTTTTGTGGAAAAAGTAACTCCACGATACTAGCTACTATCGCATTCGACAGATTTTGCACCGGGTGTTGAGGGTTAAAGTTTCGTGGGAAAGTTTGGGGCGGCCAATCAACCCAATCAAGACTCAAGAATATTTGGTTCCCACCTGTAAGAGGGCGACAAAGAGTACAGATAAAGTAGTTTGTGACTAAATATTTGCGTCTGAAGAATAGAAACAGAGTTATAGATCGGACATGGGGTATTTAGAGGAAGGGACCTGCAACGTCACCAGGGAGGTCTGTCCCTCCTTCTCCTTTTTTTTTTCTTCTTGCCAGGAACCGAATATTCGCCATACCGGATCATAGATAGTGAACATAACGGGGGTGTCTTTCATTCAATGGCTTCTCCTTTCCCTGAGATCGGAAGCAGTGACCAGCGGTGTTCTGTACGAAGTGCCAGCATGCATGTATGCATACACGGGTTTGCCAAGCTTCCAACGTGATCAAGAAACTCCCCGGCAGTTTAGCTTGTACCACTAAGCGCCCAGCCTTTTCGTTGTGGCCAATCATGACTGAGGACTCGACCCCGTCAGCTCGCTGACTCAGTTATCGCAGCTGTTATCGCAATCCAGAACTCCTTCCCTTTTGTTCTTTCCAGAGTTCTTTTTGTGGGCAATTCAGGTTCCGCCCAAGAGATTCATGTGCTTCAAATGGTCGTGTCGACGTGAAATTTGCTGCGTGAGCCGAACACTTCAATACAACAAATAAATGAACGCCGCGAGACTTACACGTGATCACGTGCTAATTAACTGAGTTTGCAATTTGCAATTGACATGGACTAGCGAATGACCATTCTGAAACACTATTTGTCATTTCTACATGATCTACTGTTCAAAAGCATTACTCTAGTACTGCAGTGGACGAAGATTGCGTCACCTTTGACGTGTGCGAGACACGCATACGACGTACATTCACATTGTGGCAAACACGAAACCTCCGCGGCAATCATGATCACGACCGAGGCTTTATCATCGATCTGTTGCGCCGATTTTGCAAAAAGTGAATTCTCAGAATTAACCAAGCCTCAAGTCTTCCACAAGCACAGCCACAACAACCACCGCTTCAGGACAGCTACAAGAGTTACAGGGACGCAGTCGAAAGAGAACTGCGGATGAGGCAGACGAAGGCACACTATCCGCCCAAGGCCCTCCTCAGAAGCTCGCCGCTGTCGCTGTTTCCAATGGAAATCGCGCTGACCGCGGTCGTTGTAGAACGGCGGAAAAACCCAATCCCTTCATTGTGGACCCTCAAAAGGCTCGTCTCCAATACATGTCCAACGTGCCGTCTGATCCTGACATCCTGACCCATCAATGCTGCATACGGCTGCCAAATTGTTTCCGACCGACGTGAGGGAGATTCAAATCTTCCTTGGGGCTGCTCCCTGAAGAGATCTATGTTCCAGCTTCTGAATCCCACACATATCTTCTCCCGGAGGAGGTCAAGCTTCTTAGCATTTACTCCCCAACACAATGAAGATGCAATCAAGCAGTTTCGAGCGTGAAGTCGGCAGAAAGGGCGGTCTTGCAGCCTACGAAAACAGAGTTGGAGCTCATGCCCGCAGCCTTGCTCAAATGCAGGCGGATGGCAGAAAGGGCCGTCATGTACCCAAATCAAGAGTCCAGCGACAAATCCCAGGAGGAGAGGCATACTATGTGGACCTTCCCAGTCCCAAGGACAGACATGTTCCCAAAAACCAAATCAAGTTCCAAGAGATGTATGCAAAGATCGACTTATTGGATGCAAACTCTTTAGAAGAACGCATACACAAGTGCTGCAAAACTAGCCAAGAATCGCGATTTGGTTCTGATTTACATGTACATAGCACTGGTAAGTGAAAGGAAACAATACGATCCGGATTCATGTGCAAATATAGTACTCACTCCCAATTCACGCTCAGACTGCGAAAGTATGGTACGGCGGCACAAGTCGGAAGGTTGGGACCTTCAACAGTTGGGCACAGGCTTCCTTTGCCCGGCAAATTGTGCTCCAAATCATTGGTTCCGTCCAGGGAAACAAGCAGGAGGTACCAGTATCAGAAGCAGTCTTCATTGCAGCAGCAACAGAGGCCATTTCTGTTGTGGAAGATGGAGTAGCCGGAAACTTCTGGAATGAGGATGTAAAGACATATTTGACTAAATAAAAAGTACAAAAAGTACAAACAAAATCTACTTTATCTTGAAGTGCGGAAGTCAATTGGCTGGAAAGCAGTGCCAGGATGGGTTTCTGAAGGAGTGGGAGAAGGAAAAGGAAGAGAGCTTCTCCTAATTTCCGTTTGCTTTAGGGCCTTCCATCTGTTCTGCAGATCTTGGAATCTATCAGTCGGGTGAACATCAAGCGTATCACTATCGGAATTGTCACTAGTAGTACTGTCGGAGGTGTCATCGTCGACAGGACCACTAGTTGCGGAATAATTGTTGATGCAGTCAATGACTCGCTCAAGTTGACTTTCTCCTCCTTCCCCACTTTGCCTTCGCTTGTTGATGGCCGAGATGATATCGCTTTCAACCGTGCGACGTCCGCGGTGGTCGCCTCTTGTTTCTCGCTCATAAATGGCTTTCAGCTTGTCATCAGGGTTCGTGTACACGACACCTTGTGAGAAGTCTCGCTTTGTTTGTTCTGACGCATCTTTCAAAAGTTCATTCACCAACAGAACCAGCGACGTCCCCTTTCCTTGAGTCTTTTGCACGTGCTTGTCCTCCTGTTTACCCTTTGTCCCTTTCTTTTGAGACTTTGAAGTTCCCTTCGTCAGCGAGCGATCAGGAGCGTTCTTGTTGTTTTTGGAAAGCCCCTTATGAGCTTGAATACCTCCGGGCTTCTTGTGAGTCTTTGCTGTTGGTGCTGCAGCCAGTTTTGCCGCTTTCTTGGCTTCAGCTTCCATGACTTTTTCATGCTTCTGCACGGCAGCTTCAAGGTTGGAGGCGAACTTGCAGAGAATTCCAAGCAATCCGTCTGTGGAGCGCTCACCGCCGCTCTCACCGCAATACTTCGACATTTCTCTACACGTCTCCACAGCGTTGCTGCAGTCTCGCTTCAGACTTGCAAAAGTTTGGTCGGCTTTTGTCAGGAACTCACTCAATCTGTTGATTCCGCTTTGCAGATCGTTTCTCTTCTTGGCAGAGTCGCCATTGCCTCGTGGTCCAGCGGAGTGTTGTTCACTCAATGCTGAGGCATGGACTGACTTGGTATTTCCATTTCCTGCGTCTGTTTCACTCGCTCTGGCCGAGATTGCAGACGACTGAACGCGTGAGTCAACTGGAACACGGCCAGTACTCGCAGTACTCGCCACGGCCGCTGCGGGCATGCTGGGGCCACCTGTCTCAGAAACGAGCAGTTCGTGCTCTTTCTTGCACTTTTGCAGCTTCTCGTCGATTTCCTTGACGTTTGCAATCAAGTCCGAGATCAACATACGGCTGGCTGCTTGGCAGTCTGGAAAGTCCTCCAACAGATTCAACGTTTGCTTCTGCCCCTTCGCAACATAAATTGTGACCATGTAATCCAAGACCGTGGTCTTTCCATCGCCACTCTTTGTTTGTGTTAGCCTCAAAAGTGAATCAAACTTGAAGCCCGAGGCACCACCAGTTCTCGTTCCCTCGTTCATAATGTTTCCGATCTGAAGGACCATGTCAAGAAGTTCACGGAGTCTTGCACTCTCCATGACTTGTGTACACACCCGAGTCAACAGATGCATGCTCTTCTGGATTTCTGCAGCTTCTGTCTCGAACACCTCCATCGCATGGAGAACGTGTGCTTTTTCGTCGAGCCGTTTGATGTGGACAATCTTTTGAAACCATAGTTCCGCAGGGACAAGACGATCGGGGCTTCCATAGTAGCGCTTGATGTTGCTGATTTCGGCCGCAGTCGGCAAGAGATCTCTAACAAACTGCACCCTTTCACCTCGAAGTCTGCACAGTGGGTCAACGTTTTGCAATATACTGGCCAGCTCGTCATAGGAGAAATCCTTGAACGCTTTGAGACTGATTGCGATTATGTTCGCGCGGTTGATATCGAGCAACTTGGCTTTTCCAACACCCTTGTCGTCATTGCCGTCCTTCGGTGCGCCTTTCATAACTTTCACCGTGCTCTTCTTCTGGAAAAGTTCTACTAGCTTTGAAATGTCACTCCTTGCGGGCTGTGACTTCCGTTTTGGCTTTGTCGTTGCGCACCAGACGCTATTGTCGAGTTCCTCTCCGGACAAAGGAGTCCAATGAAGCGACACCAGCTTACTCTTGGCGGCTTTGGAGCCGCCTGCTGCAGCTTTTGCATCACTTCCCGGCGTACCGGTACCCAGGAGTGCATTAATGATTTTGGTTGCTACCCCCTCTTTCTCCATCTTGTGTCGTACGCCCTCTGGAGGTACGTTTAGCTTCAGCATCTTTTGGTACTTTGATGCAATGCGTTCCTCTTCCGGTGTTAGCTGTGGCTTGGAGGGCTTGGATGACGTGTCACTGCCCAGTACGGCAGCTACGATTTTCGGTTCGATTTCATCTTTCATCATTTTGTGCCTCACAGCTTCTTCTGGGATCATCATCTTCAGCATCTTGCGATACGAACTCGCAATTGCCTCTTCGGCTTCGCTGAGTTTCGGTCCTGTCTCGGCCTTGGACTTCTTGGAGGATTTGTCCTCGTTCAAGACCGCCGACACGATCTTTTCGTCGACATTGTCTTTTTCCATCTCACGGCGCACATCGTCAAGGGGGGCGTCCAGCTCGACCATGCTCCTGTACATCTTGGTTGCTTGCCGCTCAAAGTCTGAAAAATCGTCAGGGAAGCTGGTGTCGCGCGGAAGCAAACCAGCTTCGCTCAAGACAAAAGCAGCGATCTTGGGACTAACGCCCTCCTTTGCCATCTTATGCCTCACGGCTTCAGGGGGGATCATCATCTTGAGCATCTTCTGGTAAGATTCAGCAACCTCCAATTCTTTCTCAGCGAGTGGCAGCTTGCACTTATCCAACAATGATGACGGCTCTCGCTTTGTGCCTACTGATACATTATGCGTCGCTGAATCGTTGTCCTCCCCCCGCTTCAGAATATCATTGAGGAAAGAAGCTCCTTTTGGTATTCCTACTGATTTCGGCGCAGCATCTTGAACAGGTGCCATGTCTACAGCTGTTCGAAGGGCGTCAACAGCGGGTTTCGTACGCCGGGCTTGACGATATGTTTCCAAAACTTGCTGCTCCTCGTGGCTCAGAGACTCGACGAGGCTTACAGTACTAGTAGTGTCTTGCGAATCTTCTGTCGACCTGGATTTCAAGGTTCTATCATTGTGTTCGTTGGGATTCGGCATCTCGTAGAAAGCATTAGCAAACTTGAGACAATCGGCGGAGTCTCTGAACGAGAGCACCTTCGAATCGTTACTCTCAACAAGCAACAAGTTGACGCGCTGAAACTCCATATCCAGCTTGAGCGCTTTGATCTTGTCTCTTGGAAGGCTCCATGTGGCGGTTGTCCCGGACTCGTCAGGCTTCAATCGCAGCATCTTAACCAACCTCTTGCTGATTACGACCTGTTCTTGATCTTGATCAGGAGCTGCAGTTGTGCCTTTCAATTCAAAGACGAAAGCCGACTCATCTGAAACTTCGGCTTCTTCTTCACCGGAGACAGTCGTTCCAGTATCACACTTTCTGAAGGGGCACGGTTTGTCTTGAGGAGCCGGCCGAGAAGTCGAGGCATCATCATCGTCGTTACTGACGGCTTCAGGCAAATCGGCCGTATGAATTGGCTGGTACTGTTCATGTTCAGCCTGGGAAGCCGCATCGCTCGATTTGTCGCAAAAGATGCTGCAATCTGATTCTGGCTCTGGTTGTCCTAAATTAGTGTATGTCGTGGATGGAACCTCAGCTCCCTGGGCAACTACCGGTATCAGGGAATCGTTTTCTTGCATTTGATCCTGCTCTGCCTGCTCCAGCTCGGCGCTGTCCTTCTCTTCTACCTGGATATGTCGAAGTTTCACATTTGCCCAGGGAGATGGAAGAGAACCTCCTTGCTCGATCTCGTTTTGACTCTCCACCTGTAGTGTTGACTGCGGGCCTGAATTGGAAACAGCACGAAGCCTGACACCTGACCATGGAACGGTTGCTTCACTTTCAGGCTTATTTGCTGCTGCCAACAGCTTTTGAGTGGGCTCACTAGACCGTCTCGATTTCAATAGCTTTACCGTGGTCTTCCCTTCTGAAGAATGTTTTTCAGAGGATGAAGAAGAAGGAGGAGGAGGAGTCGGTTTTTTCAGCAATCCAGGCAGTGGTATGGCAGAATCGGGTTTCGTTTTGTGGGTCGACGTATGAAATGCATGCTTTGGCTCGATGACAGATCTGGTTTGAAGGGACTTGTCAGCATTCCCTTCAGAAGAAGTGTCTTGGATGGCCTCGCAATGATCTTCTTTCTCCTTTGCTGCATTGCATTCCCTTGGTTGATTGCGATGAAAGGAATGATTCTGGGGTGGTTTTTGGATATCGGGGGCTGTCGTTCTTGTGTGTTCTTTCGCTCCATCGCTGCCAGGTTGTTCCGCAGTGACTTGCAATCCTTGTCGAAGAGGAACCTCTTTCTTCACGCCCCAAGATTTGCGGGCCGCTGTTGGCTTTAGATTGAGACTTTTACTGGCGGTCGGTTCCTCATCCACAACCCGTGTGTTCGTCGCCGCTAACACACTGAGAGAAGACGCAGAAGGAGGAGCAGACAAACCAGCTGCTACTTCTTTTGCAAGTCTTTTGTCATTGACCAGCTGCGTAGCTGTCACACATTCAACTCTTGCAAGCCTCTTCAAATGGGCATTCATGGCCGAAAGCATATCTTTTGTCATTGGGTCAAACTTGAATTGGGATGTCGGGACGGCAGCTCTTCGAGGCGACCCAGTCATAACTGCTTGAAAGCTAGACCAAAGCTGTGAAGAAAGAAAGGAAAAGAAACTTAGGCCAGGTTGCCTCAACCGCGCAAAAGTTCCACCAATGTTGACCTGGACGTACCTCGGAATGTGCGCCAGAAGCCTCTGCTTGCAGTGCTTTAACAAAGTCATTGTAGCCTTGGTCCCGATGTTTCGCTTTGCCGGGCAGTGTGAGTTGTTTCCTCTTTGAGCCTCCATCTTCATTTTCTTCGATGCTGTTCATCGACTTCGGTTTACGCTCAAGAGGGGCGCGTGAAAGCTTGTCAATTGCTCTGAACGCATTCTGATTGATCAGAGCAGTGTCTTCGCACCCCTCTTCACTAGAGTACTGCATAGAATCACTGGATGCAGATTGCAAGTTGCCCATGATGGTAGATGATTCATCTGTGTCCATTGTTTCCGCTGTCTCCAGCACCTTCAGGCCTGTTTCTTGCGCGGGTTGAGTACTTTCCGACACATTCGACGACGAAGCCGTTGTTCGCGTTTTGTCGTCGTCACCGGTGTCACTAGATAGACTTGGAATTTGAGAGATAGCCTGCTGTTCCGCAGCATCTCTCCCCGAATCAGCGCTGTCGGAACTAGTAGTCTTTGCGAGATTTGAATTATGCACATCTCTTGACTCTCCTGCTTGCTTTGCTGTCGCTCGAGATGGTTTTCTCGACAAACCAACCATCTTGCTGCGAACGTATCCTTTCAAGCCTTTCGATGGCCCTTTTGGGCTAACTGCTTTTGATTGATCTGACAAGACCTTGCGTGAAAGGGTCATTGCTGCATTCTCGATACGACCTTGCTCGAACTTCGGGCTTTTTGTTCCTTTGCTCTTGGGGCTTAACTTCCTTTTGGGCTTGTCTTTGCCCTTCTTTGTCATTGTCTTCGCCAGTACCTTTCGCAGTATCGCTTTCTGATCAAACGAGGTCGAGGATGCACCCGATGCACTGGACTTTGCAGAGATTTCTGAAACGGGATCGCAGCTGCTGCTATCTTCCGCGGTCTTCCTCACTTTTTCAGTTTGGATTGAAATGCCTTCTCCACGATCACTTAAAACAGTAGATTGTTTTGTCATCGATGTACTTTTTGAAGCAGCGGAAGAGACCTGTAGATCCTTCTTGGGCACCGATGACGGCTTGTTGGCCGCCGCTCGAGAAGAGATAAGATTCCTCAAGTATTCCTTCTGATCGAACTGGTCGTTGCCTGACGAAGACAAAGAAGGTGCAGGTGCTGGCGCCGCTACAGGAGCACTTTCAGTGGAAGTCTTTTCGGTCTGAAGGGTCCTTTCATTGGGAACAGCCGGCATGGATGGTACGGGGGCTGGGGCAGAGGCAACACTCCTAATTGGGAGACGAGGCTGCGTTGTCTTAGTCGAAGGCTTGGGAGCAGGTGCAGTCGATTTGTATGGTTTGTTTTCAGTTGAACCCGTCCCTAGAAGCTTGCGAAGAGCTGCCTTGTCGTGATCTGACATGGCAGGTTTGCCACTAGATTGCGTGCGTCCACTGGCAGCTGTGGCTGCACTCTTCACACTGCTGACCGAAACGACGGTATCATTGTCACTGGTGTTTCGTTTTCGGAACACCGAACTACGTCCAACTCCAGATCTGCTTTCTTTGCTCAGCTTCTTGGATGCCAAGGCCACACTTCTTGACACTCCTTTGTTGGACCGAGTTGTGAATGGTCTCTCTGACTTGACGCTAGATGTTCCTTTGGCACTAACCGAGGCAGTACTTCGCGGCACTTCTTGGTGCAGTTTCGCTTTGGCTACAGGCCGATTTCCTTCTCTTGGAACTGTGGGTCTCCCTTGATTTTCGTCTACAACCAACTGCTCTGTATTGTTTTCATCCCGTTCTCTTGTTGCAGCTGCCTCATGTGGAGCGCATTCATCACTGGGATCTAGTCGGTGAAGACCGCGATTCTCCGGACCTTCCTGCCTTTGACGTAGAATGTCAAGTTGCCTATTGGTGAGTTGAATCGTGGGCGCCTCTGATCGAGGCTCTGGTATGGAAGAGGGTGGATCAATCGGTTGTCTCCTCCTTGGTGCATCGCCCGTACGGAGATGTAAGGTTGATGGAGGTTCTCTGGGTCTTCTTCGAAACATCGTCTGGTACAGGTTGAGCGAGGAAAGAAACAACAATTCAGTGCGTTGATACAAATACCGATAGAAGATAGATCAGAGAATCAACTTTCGTTTGAAGTCTCCAAGCCAAGGACTCGAATGATCAATCGAAAGGTTGACAAAGCAGTTGGAGTGTTTCCGCTCGGTTTGATGTCGGTTTTTAGATGGGTCGGTGCGGTTGTTGGTGTGGTTGGAAAAAATGAGCGGTGGGACGGTTGCGCCTCGCTCGGGGCTAAGTAACAAAACGACCTCTAAATCTTTCTGAAACAAAAAAGTTTAGCGGCTATTTCAGTCCCGCCAAAAGAGGACTCGACCAAGCAAACGACGCTATGGGCTGCTGGCAGTATCAGTACCGGTATGGACATACATGTAATGTACAGCGTACCAGGTACCGGTACCCTTTTACCATACCGGGAAATTTTTTTAAGCTAGTACTATAAAGGTTGAGCCCCCGCAGGGGGCTCTGAACCATAAAGATTGGGCCCCTTGGGGCCCAACCACCAAGCTAGCTAGCTAGTGGGAGTGGAACACATGGTCTTCTGGCTTGCCCTCAAAGCACTGCAGCAGAGCCTCCTGCATCTTCGACTTTGTCTTTGGGATGGACTTTCCCAGGACCCTGGCCCACCCTGAAGGAAGCAATTGCTCTGTGTTGGCCTAGCTTGAGGCCACTTCTGATAACCAAAGACACATGCTTGTTGGTGCCACAATGGGGGCATGGAGTCTTGAGTCCTTCTTTGCCTGTTGCTGGGTCCATGAACTTGTACCTCGAAAGCTTTTCCAGGATGCATGCTGCGGTCAAATATCTCAGGCATAAAGAAGAGAATTTGAGTGTGAGCCGGGAGCTCAAATTCCATGGCTGCTAGAGACTGTTGCCTTCCATCCTTTGTCAATGCCGTTCCCAAAGAAATTCGTAATTTGGGACTGGCCCTGGCCTGCAGCTTCGTCCTTCCTTGCAAGCGCTCTCATAACAGGGGATGTGACTCCGTAGACTGCTCCCTGTGGGAAATGGTTCTGCAGATGCCGATCCAATTTCCCCGCCACTAGAGGAGTCCTAGCTTTTACAGAGGCACGTCCTGTCTTGCCAACAGCCGCCAAGAACACCATGCCGTTGTCGTCCACCTTGGGGAACCGTCCACTGGAGTACAGGTCCCGGATGTAGTGGTCGATACCAGCCGGCGCCTCTTTCGTACTCGCACTCATCGTCTTCGGTGAAAGCGGCTATATCCTTGGCTGCAGTGAGTACCTCTGCGAAGTACCTCTGCGGCTACTGAATCTGCGGCTACTGAATGCGGTAAGTACACCTCTGCGAAGTACCTCTGCGGCTACTGATTACGGACGGGATGACCTCGGTTTTATTGTCTTGCTTCACTATCTGGCTCAAATTCGCATCTCTGTGTCAGCTCGATCAGTCTCTCGCTGTGTCTCTCCTTGTGTTTTTTCGTGTTTTTTCGAAAGACCAGACGGAGCAAGCATCCAAAGGATTTCGATGTGCACGACTGACGTGCACGACTGACGTCATCTAAAGATCGAACGATTCTGATTGGCTAATCCTCTACAGAGGCTCTACAGCGGCTCTACAGCGGTAGTGTACTGTTGGGCTGATGTCGGCACGGCGGTCCCGCTGTACTTTCTGTACCAATCCTTTTATGTTCTGTTATGCGAACTACCGCCGGTAGCTATGCCATGGCAAGTTATTTTTTTTTGTTTGAGTGGGAGGTTGCAAATGTGGGGGATTATAGGCAAAGAAGAGGCGAAATTATATTAGTTAGGCATAGCAGTAGCCGTGCAAGTTGAGCTGGTGTGATGCAATATGACTGTCGACACCACTCAAAAGGAGAAAGCAAAGGAGATTCTTAACCTGGAGTTTCCTTGGCCATGGATGCAGGAGAAGGGCTCCAGACACTACTATGTCACACCTGAATCAATTGAGCAAGCAATTGGGGAGTAAGCCCCAAAGATGTCCCTGAGCTGAGCTGGACCGTCCGACGCTTTTCATTCAGGATTTAAAAATCTTCAAATTGCCAGGATTGACAACATCTTTTAAACAACCCCTTAAACAACCCCTTAAACAACCCCTTAAAGCTTCAACATCCCCTTAAACAACCCCTTAAATAAACAACCCCGTAACAACATCCCCATATATCCTCGAAACAACCCCTTAAGCCTTCATTGAAACGCCATACAACAACCCCTTATCACGAATGAACATCCCCATAAATAAACAACCCCTTAAAAACAACCCCCTAAACATTCAACATCCCCTTAAACAACCCCTTAAAGCTTCAACATCCCCTTAAACAACCCCTTATGAGAACCAGGATTATGAGTCAGTGTGCCCGTTTTTAAAGCCTGAGTGAAAACCGTCGGACGGTCCTGTAAGACTCCGCGGTTGTTATTTGCTAGTAATACTGCAGCTTATTGGGGAGTAATTTGGTTTTGGATTAAGCTGTAAATAAAAAGTGAGGATTTTCTGGTGGTGCATAGCAATTCTTGTGATTGAATTGGATATAAGGACCCCCGCAACACTTTAGACCTAAAACTCCCTTGGTTCCTTGCATGATCAATTTACATGCGAACCGGACTAGATGATTAATACACGAGTCAATAGTAAATGTTGGATAAGGCAACACTGTAGCTACTGGCTAATATCAAGTTAATTTGTTGATTTGGGCGAGCTGAGCAGAAAGAATGATCTTTCTGCCAGGTTGCTCTGAAATCTGGATTCTGAGAATGCCAGTTTCCTTAAAATTCTACGACGGTGCGGTCTTTTTCTTATCCGGGTCCGCTAAATATCTAGACCGGCCAACACACTCCTGCCGTGGTCCCTAATGGATCCACGGAACGATTAAAACTAAACTAAATAGGAGGATGCCCCATAATAAAAGCGCGATGCGCATGGAATAGGGCACCTTGGAGGGGCTTCGTGAGAAAGTCCCCGTGCATGTCCTGTGTGGGACAATACACCACTCGTACATTCCCTGCTTCACTTGGTCGTGAATAAAGAAGAAACGCACATTCAGAGCACGAGTACGCTTACCGGCGCTGCTCTTACCATTCTCAGCGAGAATGAAGCACTCTTGTTGCTTTGGTAAAGGATGTTCTCCTGGACATCGACACTGGGCTTCCAAAAACAACTTGGCCACAACAAAGGACTCATAACAATCGTCGGCTCCAATGAGTTCAGCGTCGGTACTGCTCGGGCATTGAGTTTCTGTTGCTAGAACACAGCAATTGGGGCACCGGGGCCGAAACTGAGCACTCTCCGGTATGGGAACGGTAGCTGGGTGTACAGCAAAACTGGCATCCACCCACCAGCGAATAATGCGAACGTCGTCAGCATGGAGGATGAGCTTGTCTTCAAGTCTGTTGAATAAACTTGAGGCCTTGGAGAAGTTTGCCCCAATTGTTCTGGTTCGGCTGTTTCACTCGAGTACAAAGGACGGTAGTCAGGGATTGCATACTGGACGTGCAGCTTACAGGCAAAGAGTAGCTTGGCTGTGTTCGTGTGGAAGGTATCTTCGTTCAGGGTCCAGATTGTCACCTGTCACCAAGGCATCAACCGAGACAAAACACAATAGGCAGCTGGGGCCTGCCTCGGGAACACGATACGGACATGACAAAGTTTACAGGGAACTCTCAGCACTGAAATAAATCGATCATATCAATCTTGACTTCCTTGCCCGCCTTCAGAAAAATCAATCGTCATCCCTAGTTAGTCGTGCTTGGGTCCTCCGGTTGCTTTGACAGCACCGTAGGTACCCTACTTCTCGTTGCACCAGACCAGGAAATCATCATTCAACTTGGCCATCATACACTGGACATGAAATCGTCGACATGGAAACGGTTAGTCTGTTGCTTGCCTTTGACCATCCTGTTGGCGAAACAAGGATCGTAGGGGTTTAATTCGAAACCAATAGACCCCAAATCCTTGCGGAATGACTTGTACCAAAGTAGACTTGCAATGAACATTCCATAAAGTGCCTTCAGAACCACAACGTAGAGGATAGGACTCCCCTTCTCATAGACAACAAGGAAGGGCTTGTAAGTGTCAGGGACGATTTCCACAAGTAGCT